GGGGGGCGGGATACAACCACATGCAGGTACTTCTACCCAGTTCACTTCATCAAGTTCATCCAATCTGCTGAAATGTTTAGCCACAGGACCACCCCTCCCCCTTTTTGAGCCCCATGTGGCAGCCGGCAGTTCTACAGAGAACATACGTTTAGCATATGAAAGTTGGAAAGGGATTACGGCAGGCAAAGCACGTTTGGAAATTGCTACACTATTGAAACTTATCCTTAGAGGTGATTTCGGTAAACTAAACATTTGTTTCTTAGTACAGCGACCAAGTATTCAACCGCGAATATTTTCCCAATGATCTCAAGGACTAATCAAGAATAACCAAGTGTCCAGCCACCAGCACCAGTACCGCAGAACAATCCTCTGATAATTCCAAGCAGCTATGGCACAAAAGACAACTGGAATGTTGCTGACAAAGCCATGTGCTACCCCTTGGTGGCGCCGGAAAGCCAAGTCAGGGGTCGTCCTTTGTTTGTCCCAACCAAACACTAACTAAACCACCTCGTCACTACGAGAATTTGCCTGTACTGGGATAGGGAAATTACTACCGCGGATCGTGCAATCTAACATGGAGAGTTGCAAGAGGGCAGGGAATGGATGGGGCCTAAGTGAGTGGACATACAATGACTGGCTCAACTAGGGAATGTTTGCCTTGACACATGGAGAGAATAGCAACAGCAGAGTTTTAGCATTGTCAGAATGTTAGTTAAACGTAGATGCGTTGGGAAGATGACACTACGTGTAACTATCTAGGGGACGGAGCTAATCAACTAGTAGTTTAAAGGTGAAGGTTTATTCGAGTGTCCCTCTGCTCTTTACCGTTTCGCTCTTTTGTTCTCTGTACTCAAACCTTTGAGTGTCAGTTGCGGCGCTAAAACGCGCACACTTGTGTGGGATGTTGATGTACTTTGCGTCATAGAGGATGAACCCGGGTTAACAAATGGAAGAACGTTCTTGAACTTGTCACACGAAAGTTTGGAGCGTTAATTGAGGCACAGGGAAGGGGGTAGGAAGGTGGGAGGACTACCTATTCGTGCCGAAATTCTGGGGAGATCTCTGTGTTGTCGAGGACGAAACTTGCGACCAAGCAGTTCATATAATCGATCTTGTACGTCTTCTGTCCCTCTTCCTGTACAACAGTCGACATGTTCGAGGTTAACGGCCTAACCGAGAAAATTGCGCCGGGCAAGAAGAGGAGAGGACGACGTATCGCAGACGTAAGCCCGAGCTTCTGAGATACAACTTGTATAAAGTCTTGAAAGTCGTCTCAACTAACTCTAGGTATCGTTGTGTCTCTGCGCTGAAGGCAAGCTTCTGAAGCCGTGGGAGAGATTGTCGCTGGTGATGACAATGGCAGTTGGCAGCCTCAAATGATCCTAGTGCAATAGATCCCAAACCGTGTTGGTAGGGCTCTACGGAGAACAGATCTCCAGCGACTGTAGTGGTCGAAGGTCGCAAAACATCTCATAAACGCGAGCTCAGCATGAGAAACCCGAGCTCGAGATCGGTCCTTGATGTATTACAACAAGTTAAAAGTTGTATTCAAGAAAAACTAACAGCTGGAAGTTTTCAAGCGGCGGATCTGGAGGATGGTCCAGGGATTTTCCCTCTCCTGTGATGCTCGTGCAACAACTGGATATGGGACTGACTGCAGAGAAAAATGACTTCTAGTAGGTGTCCCTCCAGGATTCCTTGCAGATGGAAGCCAACGTGTGTAGCGCTTTGAGCTGGTCTTCCAGATCTTTTTGTAGTAGAATGGACTCGCACTCATCAGCCTACCGACGATCAACCCGCCGCCATCGATCTGTGTCTGCTTCAGGGTCGACTGTCCAGGCATAGCAGTAAATCACGAGCTTGATCTCCATCGACAAACGCAGGAGAGTAGATTATGGTTATGCTAGAATTCTTTCTGTTGGGTTCTTGACTGAATCTGGATTTACGCGGTCGTAACTTGATGCGGACGGAGTTGTTGAGGCCTTCGAGGCATGTTCTGAGGTAGACATGGTGTCAGGGTCTTGTCGAGATTTTGCTGGGAGGAGGGCGATGCGGTCGGGGGTATCGGATGTAGAGAAAGGCGCTGGTCTCTGAGAAGAGACAGAATACCAACGAAACTGTACTGTCCCAGTCTCGAACGATGTGAGAGGAAGGAGGGTAGGTAACTGATGAAGCCGGAAGAAAGACGACGACGGAACATCTACGTAGGCTTGAGTCAGTACTTGATCAGCAGCATTGATGGAAGAGGAAAAACAGAGGGAAGCCTGGGAAAGGCGAAGAGTCACACTGGACGCCGCGAGAGTTCCCGGGAAGGCAAGCCTAGGGCAGTGAGTGCATGGGCGTCACCTGCAAGGCAAGGCACAACCAACAACGCCTAAAAAAAACATTCAAGCTCTGATAGATATCGGTTGTGGAAGCAAGAAAACAAAGATTGAAAGAAAAACGCGAGTAGACTCTGTGGTGTTCATTGTATAGACTGCCAGTTCTTTGCCTGCGGCCGTCTTTCAAGAGCAGTGGCTGGCCATCACCGGTGATGCGTGGAAACGCTGTGCGAATATGGGCACAATGAATAGCTGAATTTGATGATGATTTCTAGAGGTAGTTCGAGGTGTAAGAGGTGATTGCCGGGAGTCCAGATTGCGACATAGAGGAGGTGCTATGGGAATGTCCTGCATTAAACCAGACGGGAAAACCCTCCTCCTTCCCTACCGACATTACTTGCCAAGCAAATCTGCAGCCACTCCCAAGACACTCCTTCCCTATGACTTTCCCAAGAACCCAATCCTCATGCAAACATCGGTCGTATTTTGAACTCTTGTGGCCCAATCCATTCTCCCAATTTTCGAGACCTTTCCATCGCCGAGGTTGGCACTTTTCTTGAAGCAAACCGCGTACCTTCCAGTAGAGGTAGTATGGCATGACCCAGAGAGATTACCCATGGTCGAGAACATGCCATAAAATAGGTTAGTGATCCCCAGCAACGCGATGTTCCGTCTAGATCCTGAACGCTAGTGATCTAGCCCACAGGGGATTGAGACAGCCAAGATGCTGTTCGATAATTTGGTGAGGTGGTTCTGCGTCCTGTTTTGTTGTTGTTGTTAGCATCGACCATTATTCTGGTAAAAATTCTTTGTCGCAACCATGCAACGCGAATGAAGTGCGGAGAGAGGTGGTTTGCCCTAGAAGAAGGAAAGTGTGTTCTTAAAGGTTCATAGAGAAAGAGAAGAATTTTAACGTACAGGCTTCGCGAGGCCCTCCACCAACGCGCGGAACCAGTCGACACTGTTCCAGAGATTAACGAGCTCTAGCCTGTCGGCCACGAATGTGACGAAGGGCTTTTCTGAGTTGGCATTGCGTCGAGCCAAACTGACAGCCAGACGGCGCATAGCATTGACAGAGTAATGCGCGCCCTTCCTGTTTTCCAAGTCAGGCCCATTGGAGAGGATAATCTTCAACGTCTTGAGCTGCTTGAGTCCTTCCAACCATCTCAGGGTCGTAATTCGATGCTCATAATTCTCGGGCCAGTATAGGCTAACATGCTGCAAATGGTACTTGAGCAGAAAGCTACTCTGCATCTTGGCCATGACCTGGACATTGTGCCATGAGTAGCCCTGCATCTGCGTGTTCCAGCGGAAATACGCTTGGGTGCGGTGAAAGAACTCGGAATAGGCTTCAACCCTCATCTGGTGAGACACGGCACCCATTTTTACCACAAAAGAGAGCTGCTTCTTCAAATAAGCAATTCGCAACTGACCGCTCCTCTTGACCCTGTATGGCTTTGGGTCGACGCTCCATGCCATGCGGTAGATGATGAATCTGATCTCGGGCGGAAACCGGAAGAACAGAAGCTTGGATGCGGGTTTGTTGCCATCTCCGGCCGCCTTAAGGGAGATCTTCCAGGCCTTGTCAGAAGAAGACATGATACAAGAGAGCTCTCGTTTGGGGCGTCAGGGGGCAAGTATCAACTGAATCAGAGCGTTAGTATGTCAGCTTCTTCTTAAATACTGATGACCCAATACCTTTGGTCAAGTCCCACGTCGCTTCTACCTTGGCCTTGGACGCTGAACCAAGGAAGTTGGAAGACGAAGATGCGAGGTCTTTATGTACGCGAGGAGCGAGCTCCAAATCTCATTCACCAGTGACTTCCATCCGCAAGATGGCTTCTATTCACGACAATAGTTCAGGTTCAGGTTCAGGTTCCGGTTTGCGTTCTAGGTTTGGCTTCGAAACTTTCACAGAGTCGCGGGACACTCCGTACTCCCTACCCATCTATAACCTCCCTATCCGAGATTTCCCTTTTCTTCTTTGAGTTCTTGTCTTGAGTACAAGCTAGCAATTAAGGTAGTAAAGCCTTTGCACATTCAAGTTATCCAAACCCTACTACGCTGTGACAACTGTGCAATACACAATGGAGAAATGGTAGAACATCGGAAGGAAGCCGGTTCAGAGATGGGGTAACACGTACATACCACAAAGACCCGGGGTATCCGTTTCTAAATTCCATGGAAAGCAGGCGAAGTCTATAGACATACTGAAACATTCATGCCCGCCAGAAATTTTATGCAAGACAGTGATTTAGTCGTCTCCACGTTCCATCAACCTTGAACAGACACCTCTAGATGGAAAAAGTAGGGCACTAGAAGTAGAGGGATCGAATTTACCATGCTTCGGGGAGGCCACACATTTCCTGGCAGTATGCTTACAGATCATACCTAATTTTTCTGGAATATTAAAACAGATGCCCCGATTTTTGCGGTAGATGGAGGCGAAATGAAGTAGGAAACGTGAAAAGGATAAGACACCATCACCAGGCACCTATCACCGCGACCCCCAGCCACATTGTGCAAAGCAACCTATGCAAAAACCATCGAAACAAACAACTTGCGCAGCACATTCAACTTCGCTCAAAGAGATTCCTGATACATCTGAAATACACTTCATCCTAAAAAAGCACTAGAAACAGGGCGCCGAAAAGATGATGCGTGTGCACGTGTAGCAGATATTGGTGATCGGAAGAAGAGAGAGGTCTGGAATCCCGTGCCCGGCCCTGCCCAAGTACTGGGATGGGCACAAAGGCCTGGGATTCACGCACCTCCACGAAATAGCTGTGGACTAGCTGTGGACTGTTGCACAATGTGCTGGAACCTCTGGTTTTCTGTATCGTCCCCTTCCCAAATTTCTTTGTCCTCAAAGTCACCAAACCCTGAACGTCCTTCTGATGCATTGAGTACCTATACTGTAGCCATAAAATGAAATGCCAAAACCCATGAGCATATGACATGACAGTGGGCGAGTTAAAGATACTAAGAAAGCGACCAAGTAGCTCTTGTACAAAAAAAGCTTCAGCAGACCCTTTCAAAACTCCTCCTAAAGGTGACGCCCGCTCTTGCCTTTTCACCAACCAAGAAAGTGCGTTGCCATCGTGACTTCCACTTCCAATGTAAATACTCCCAAAATTTACAAGACTGTCCGCTCGACCCCTCAACCTTCCATCCCAACTTTCATCCCACCACCAACACTCGGTCCCGAGCCTTGTGCTTTGATAGGAACCCTTCAGCATAACCAATCATTTTCCCTCTACAGTGTCAGAGGGTAGATATACTACTTCTACCGCGCCAGATTCTAGCACCAAGAGGACTGGACAAGCCGGGCCCCTGGGTCGGATGGTATAGCGGTTACGGATTTGGAACGGATTGGGACCCGTTCCAAAGCTGCTGCTGTAACGCGTTCGATTCACAGGTGAGTCCTCTTATATTCTCCCACTTTTTTTTCTTTCCTTTTTTCTGTCTCTGGAAATCCAATCCTTCCCTTTTGTACAATCAGCTGCCAGTGATTACCTACCTATGTACTGCGTGTGCGTAGCTCTTTCCTCTTGCACCTCCCAGAAATTCCAGCCACTCACTAATAAGCCCGACACTCGAACCCTTCTTCTGGTATCGACAATCTCCCGAGCCGGTGTAGGTATGCAAATATTTCCCATAGTCAGTCGGCAAGAAGGGTCGGGTCCGACCTTAGTAATGCTAACACCAGGCTTCCAACATCTCGGCCGCGTCCTCCACCAAAAGAAGAGAACACCGACGTGCCGCTCAATGCGCTGCGACGGAGGTTCGGTTTTCTAGCGTCAGCCTTTTTATGTGAATACTACCGGAGGCCAAAAGCTCTGCCACGTCAGGGCGTGACTAGACTCTCAAATAAATCAGCAAGAATTATTCACCTCCTCTGTTCAGCGTTGACACCACTCAATATTTCTCCAGACGGGACTTTTGGATGATGTTCCAGTGTTTCCAATCCCCTGGAGTGGAATCGCATGTAGCCATATGTATCGCGGAATAATTCCTAAAAGATCTCGGTCCTGAACTGTCGACGAACTCGGCCTGAATCGCATCCACCAGAGGTGTTTCTTCAGGTAGATAGCATCTTTTGTCCAAGCATATGCTCCACGGTTGTAGGTGCGATTTGATGGATCGATCGTCCAAATTTCGCGATAGATCTTGTTACCTGATTTGGCGGAAAGGCGTAGCAAAGGGAAAGACTTGGTGTCCTGGTGGAACGAAGACGTGACGATACGCTGTTTTGGGAGGTTGTAGTTTGTGGGTGTGCAGAGAACGGTTGAGGTGAGAGAAAAGAAATGATGGTCGCGATATCAAAAGGAAAAAGCTGAAGGAGGCACAACATCATATAGAATGTATATCGGAAGGAGGATGGGTGTCGCTGATCTATATACCTACCATTCTGTGATCTACCGCGCTCAATTCGCTTTCTTCGTCCCTAGTATCCCCGGCCTGAATCCTGTCCTGTTCAATAACTGTCCCTGAGTCCCAAAACAAGGGTACCGTACCAGCTAATCTGTTGAAGTGATTACCCAGATTTTCTGAAGAAGCCGCTTGTGTGTGAATGCACCAACAACAGACGACGGGTTGAACAGATCATCTAATCCTCCTATCGTGACCTGAAAAAGCAATGATTCCTCGGAAATAATGAGATTCCGAAATTTCGATTGGATAGCAAAGTGGTCATTGAGCAAAAAGGCTCATGGCCCGAATTGGATTAGGGAAAGGACCCTGAAGCTGTGCGCCAAAAGAACCATATATCAGCGGCTGTCAAGGAGCTAGCATGGAAAGGGCCCATGAACACTCACCTGGGTGACCTGATAATGCCATTACTAAATTCTGTCGGACTTTGTTTTTATCCAACGAGGGTTGAGGCACCCCAGGTGTTCTTTGATGGCCTGGCAGGGAGGTTCGGCGTCCTAAATAAGCTGTCAGACTCTGTGGTAGACTACTTCGACCATGGACACTCATTTGAAAAGCAGCAAGGGGGAAAGCTGCTCTGAATGCGAACAAGATAGAAAAGAAGGGAAATACCTTGGGCAGTGTCATCACTAGATTCTCAAACTCCTCCTTAAACTTTCGACACAGGTCGCAATTGTGCAATCGGGAGCTTGAATTTTCTGGGTTGCCAAGCCAGGAGCCATTGTCTTCATGCTTGATGGTCACCTTCTTTAGTCCGCGTAAATTTGCCAAGCTCAGCAACACCTGCTTTTGTTTATAGCTGTAGCGGGGATAAGAGTACTCCAAGTCTACATGTGAAATAACGAGATCAAGCGTTCTGAGCTGCTTAAGACAATGTAGCCAGAGTACTGCTTGGGTGGGTGAGACTTCTTTCTTTCTGTGGGCATTCTCACCGGCCCAGTGGAAGCTCACGTGTCTCAGATGAGCCATGAGTAAGGGAGAGCTTAAGAGGAGTTCTTTGTAAGAACGATTATGTAGCGTTCTGGAACCACTACCGTAAGTTGCCCACCGTAGATAAGCTTGAGCATGGTGGAAATATTCATCGAAGGCTTCGGTCCGCATTTGCTGGCAGATGGCGCCCAACCTCCCAATTGCTGTAAGCTGTTGCTTCAGGTAGGACTCCATCAGTTGACGAGAGCCCTTGATTGTGTGAGGCTTGGGATCAACCTTCCAAGCGTGGCGATAGATCATGAGCCTGACCTCGAGCGGAAGACGGAACAGCAGAGGCTTGGAGGTTTGGGGGGAGGAAGGCATGGTGATGGATATCTGAGAGGCTGACGATCGGCGACTGAACTTTTGGCGATCAACTGCGCCAGATTGTTAGCAGATCAGTTACCACAAAGCTCACTTTTTGACCATTACCAAGTATCAAGCTTTGCGTATATCGGCGCCCATGATCTGGACTTTGATTGATGTCGTTAGAAACGGAGATATTGGTGATGATGGTCAGTGGTTCCTGTGTGAGTTGAAGGACTTGATAGAGTAGTGAAAACAAGAGATCATGAGGGTTGGAAGATTGAAAAAGAATGGGCGGCGAGGAGAATGTACAAGAAGAAATATACGAGTGAATGAAGAGTTGAGATGAAATGAAGAGACCTCAAACGCAAACGAAAGGTAACAAGTATCAGATGAAGTATCTTGCGCGCTTCAAACACACAACAATTTTATCTTTCCAAGCCGTCATATCCTATTTCATCCCATAAGTCCCAGTCAAGTGCCAGTAATGGGTCCGCAACTGCGGGTAGGCGATCTTTCCCCTCGACATTATCATGATCCAGCCAAACAACGTCTCATCAGGATTGAATGATCACCCGAGGAGAATATTGAGAAAGAATAAAGCAAAGCAGTGGATAGAAAGAAGAAAAAAAAAAACGGATCAATGGACAAAAGGCATTGCTTAGAAGGAAAAAAAGAAATCCAAATAATTTCGGGAAGCAAGGGTAGAGGTATGATTACTTGTTTTGTCAGTAGAGTAGAGCCTGTTAAATACTTGCCGCTGAAAAACTCTCCCTCCCTGCCCACGGCGCTGGGAGTTGATGAGCATGGCACCGATATATCAGACCCAACACTCTAGTCAGCTGTTAGCAAGAGAAAGAAGTTTCCTAGGCGTTGTCTCTTTAGCGGGGGTCAGGAGCAAATGTAGAGTGCAGATGATGAAGAAGAGATACCGCAGGCGATGTTACGAGAGCCTCAACACACTCCTCAAAATATTCGAAGTGAATGATATGTGACTCCACCTCGCGCTGGTTGCCGGTTGAAGTTCGTACTTGATGGTGACTTTCTCAAGTCCGCGCAGATTCACTAGTCCTAGATATAAGTAATCGGTGAATCATGGAAACTTGCCTTCCCGTTCATACGAAGGGGTAACGTTACGCCGCGGCTCCAAGAGAGCGCGTTCGACCGCCCTGAGCTTCTTGAGACCTTGTAGCCACAGAAACGCTTCCATGGGCGACAGTTTACTACAAGCCCTCTCCCAGAACACAAGGTCAGTCCAGCTGATCCGAAGGAAAAGAAATTGAACCTACTGCAAGTCCCTCCTTCCTCAACAGCCAGTCATAATCTCGGGTTCAAGGCACCACCTGCCTTCCGAGTTACCTAAGCACCCAACAGAAGACGGCTGATGACAGGTCAATCACGGACACATCGCTCCTTCCACTCCGCTAGAATGTTCCTCACCTGTGCGAAGATTAATAGCGTAGTGTTCATATTCGCTGCCGTGGTGGAATCAAGTTCAGGTGCACCTTGATGTCAACAATGTTAAGAAACGGATACATCTTGGACATCCATCAGCCTTGAAATATCGCCGCAATTTTCGACCAACTGAACGGAGCTTGCTGTCGTGGTAAAAGATCTTAATTATGACGTGGAAAGAGAAAGGAACGGGGTTTTCAGGGTCACTCATGCCCGATTTTTCCTGCTGGCAGTCAGAGCAGGTTAAATGGTGGCATTCACCATCACAGAAAAAATATATCCCTTCAAAGAAACGGCAAAAAGTGGAATGGGTAGAGGTAAGAATGGACTTGACCAAAATTGACAGGGATACCCTCAAGGGACGACGATGAGCAAGTTCTTTTTGAGGGCAAGAACAATCACTAGGTACCCAGTCCAGTCTCCTTCCACTGCAACCGGCTCTCCTTCTCGGCGTGTGTCCCGGCCTGTCACATCTCTTCTTCGGCAAACTGAAGCAAGAATGACTTCAAATCAGAGGAACCGGGAGGAACACGCCATTTTGCAAGTCCGATATCATGCTTTTCAATATCACCGTCTCTTTTCCATTTGTGTCCGAGCCCCATTTCTGCATCATACCACAGATTTTTTGTTGAGCCTGTACCGCTTTTTCATCCATCATGTACTTCAAACAACCAAGCATGGACGGGACAAATAAGTTTTCAATTATCCACAAGAACCACTACATATGGATAAAATCAAACATTCACAACACACCCTTCGTCAATCGTTGCAAATACACCATCAAGCATCACCACCACCGCCACCACCATCCTCCTCCCTCCGAGCCTCCCCAACAGCCTCTCCTCTCCAAACCCTTCCATGTAGCTCATCCAACAACTCATCAAACTCTTCCCTCTGCTTCTTCTTTCCAGCCTCCAGCACATCCTCCAGTAGGTTTTCCTCTTCAAGCACTGGCACCTCTCCACCTCCAATCTGATGTCCCTGGTGTCCCTGGAATCCCTGTCCTTGTACCTGCAGCCTCCCAGCATTCCTAATGATTCTCCAAGCCCTCCTGAACTCGTCCCGAATAGCAACGATGCCGCTGTGCGTGACAGTGCGGGCGACGTTGTGGTCGAGCTCGAAGGGGTCCTCGATGGCAAAGAGGTAGCGGTAGCGGACTTCTTTGAGTTCCACATCCGGTTTCGGCTGTTGATGTTGCTCGGTAAAAGGGCCCGTCGGGGTGGGTTCTTCGGTGGTAGGAGCGGGAGGGACAGGGGCAGGGACAGGGGAATGTGCTGGGAAGCCTGGCGGAGGGGCGAGACCTGGCGGAGGCGCCATACCAGGGGGAGCACCACCGGCAAGCGGAGCAGCTGCTTGTTGTTGTGGCTGCTGCGCCGACGGGGCAACAGTGGACGGCACACCCGGCGTCGACTCCAACACCGTCTTAGCGCCCGTCCACCCCTTTTCTTGCTTACTGAGAATTCCGCCCTGCGTGCGAAGGCTGATGACATCCCTGCCCCAATCAAAGCCTCTGCCGGGCAGTGTAGACAACGAGCCATTCTGGGCGTAGTACTCGAAAAACCCACGGAGGAGATGGCCGATGGAGTCCCGGTTCTGGTTGATCATGCCCATGGCCGCCAGACGCTGGATCTCCTGGTCATCGCGCCAGAAATGCACGTTCTTACCTTTGCAAAAGGCCACGTCGTTCAGCTGCTCTGCCGTGAGGTCAGGTGGGAGAGGGGGGGCGAGCTGTTGCAGGTTTGGGCAGACGAAGGGCTTGACGACATTGATTAGGTAATGTAGCACCATCATAACATAGCCGTAGCTGCTGAGGGTGCCGCGGTAAGGGGAGTTGATGCCGCGAACCTTGGCCCAGTGCTTGACGAAGAGAACCATGGGCCGGACGCGCGGGTCGCAGGACGAGTAGCAGCGAAGAAGGTGAGTATTGTGCATGGCGAGGTGGGCGGAGAAGTTGATGTCGCACTGGATGCCTACACCGGACTTGGGGAACTCGAAGCGGTCGCGGTAGGGATCGCGGGGTTGGTTAGGGCCCATGGTTGATGGGTCACCGATTGAGCGGATCTGGGAAATGGTTTCGATGAGGTCTGGGGACAGAGGGGTCTCGAAGCCGCACTCGAAGGGCTCGACCGGGGACCTCACTATAGGTCCCCGGAGGAAAGCGATGTACGAGCTGATTTTGTCTTCCGTATCCTTAGGATAGAGATTTCTCCCGAGACAATGCTCCAGGTCATGAGCGAGGTGGTAGCTCATGTGTCTCTTTCCAATCGCGTGGAAATCGGAATATCCAACACTTTCCGCGAATTCCTTGACTGCCTCCCGTATGGCCTCGTCTTTGATGCCGTCGATGTAGCGGCGCGAGATGAGGGTGATCGCCTCTCTCCTTTCATCAGCAGTGTCATTTCCAACCAATTCTTCCACCAACTCCTTCGCCCTGGCGCAATACTGCGCAGTTGACTCGTACTGCCCCTGCGACAATAGCATGAGCTGGATGGAAGGCAGCCCTCGCAGTTGATCAGCCGCCCGCTTCAGGTCCCTGTCATACCCCAGAGGATCGGCGCTACAGTTGGGATGGTCTTGCAGGGTCTTCCACCTGTTTACGCACATCTGGCCTCGCGCTTCCTTGTCGGCGTCCTTTTCGGTGATGTGACGAGACTCCCACATCATCACCATCTGCTCGCCCTCGACTTGCGTGTACACGCCCTGGAGAGTGCGGGGTTGGTCGGCTCGATACTCAAGATCGTAGCGATTCAGAGAATTGTAACTGAACAAACGGTCGCGCAGCTGGCGATCCTCGAGCCCCTCTACGAATGCCAAGCAAACTTGGTTCAGCTTTTGGAAGTCGGCTGGGGAAAAGTTGTTGATTGTTGAGTTGGTTAAATCGCGTCCGCCAAGACTTCTCAAGTAACCTTTTGTTGTGCCGTAATAGGAGTTTAGGGTTTGATTCAAGGCTTGGTAGAGTTTGAACTCTTTCTTCTCTGTACCGTTGTCGTCTTGGTTGCCTTCTTCGTCATGGCGTTTTTTCTTCGGCTGATCTTGCATATCATCTTTCTGCCCTTTCTGCTGCTTCTGCTGCTTCTCATCCACTGCAGATGCATGACCGCCTGCCGGCTGATCAGCCTCATGCTCGACATCTTCACTTAAGTCATGCTCTGGATCGTCGTTCTCTTCGTCTTCTCCCTTATCTGACATTTCCCTCTCCCTCTTCAGGTGCTCCTCCACCAAATCATCGTACAAGCTCTTTGGCGGCTTTTCGCAGACTTTGATGATGGGCACTCTGGTCTTTGAAAGCAGGCGAGCGGCAAGTCCAACTTCGAGAAACGCCTTTTCAATTAGCCGGGGGATTGGAGAGCCTGGAGCATCTGGCTGCAGGCGTGAGAGAGGCGACAAGAGACCCAAATCCATGTCAGCGGCCTTGGTAGCAAACCCAGAAGCAAGACTGCCGAAGCACCGGAGCTGGACGCTCTGGGGAGGAAAGTCGTGGAAGCCGTTCTGAGATTGTTCGTACTGGGTGATGACGGCCTGGGCAAGTGCCTCGATCTTTTGGCGAAAAGTCTCGTTCTTAACGATGTCGTCGTATTCGATCTGGGCATTCGCGATGATGGTTGCGCATAGACCCTCAAGCATGTCGGTTTGTGCCTTGAGCTGTTCCGGCCGGACCTGGGGTTGCCTGCCGGGGTTCCAAAGCGCACCCCCTCTGGGATTTCTAGGTACTGGACCATCGAAGGATCCTTGGGGAGTGTGGTGGGCCGAGCCGGGATTAGGACCGGAATTGAGAGGCTGTCGCCAGGTGTTAAGGTCCAAATGCTGGGGGCCTGGGCCGTGGTAAGAGCGGGAAGGGTGGTGTCTGGGTTGGGCATGTCCCTGAAGTTGTACCGGAACCTGGTTGCCCGTATGAGGCGGGTTTGGCTGGTGGGCTCTAGGGCCAGTCTGCTGGTGGTGATAAGCTGTTGGTTGTGGTCCTGACTGAGGTCTTTGATTTCTATAACGGCCTCCATTACCATACAGTGCAGGTTGACGCCCAGCCTGATGTCCAACTTGGTGCCCAAGTCGCTGTGCAGGTTGATGTCCGGCCGGAGGTCCTGGTTGAGGCACAAACCCTCTCAAGGCCTGTTGTGGTCGGACAGGATCAGGTAGTTGAGCACGAGGGTCAATGGCGATATTCAGCTGAGCGGACATTTGACGACGCTGGGCCTGGTTGAGACGCTTCCGGGGTTGTGGAGGGGATGAACCGTTGGGGGCGTTTTCCACTTGGGGCTCTGGGTCGTTGGAGTTGGTGAGGATCATAGTCCTCAAGCGATCCTCAAGACCCGGTCCTCGGACTCCCTGTCCTTGCTCCATTGCAGCGGTGATGACCTGAGAATCGAGACAACCTCTAAGCCTCCGATTTTTTTGTTCAAGTATGGCCAGGCGAGTAGGCTGTATGCATACAGAGAAGAGTAGTCAGGTGTTGTTGATGGTGTCATCAAGTGAAGGTGGTGGTGGTGGCTAAGAGAAGCCCGCAGTGAGGTTGGATATGCCAGACCACTTTGTGAAGAGAGAGTGGTCAGCCAAACTGTCATGTATATAGGGAGCTAGGTACCAGTTGGCCTGAGATAGATTCGGGAAAAGTGATGAAGATGAGCCCAGGCGCGAGCTAAAAAGCAACACGTCTCCCGTCGTCCTGACTCCCCTCTTTCAGGAATTTCACTTTAGGCTTCAGAGTTCAGGGCAGTTGGCATGGAATATGGAGTGTCAAAAGGTACCTTACAGCATGTACCACAGCGCTGGGATGGGGCCGTTGGGGGGCGGCGATGTGGCCCTGATGCGATACCCTGGAGCTGGACTTATTCCTTAGACTTAGAATATCGTGTGAAGTCGCGTCATGCTTATTGCTTTGTTTGCGTAAACACGTCGGCCATGTCCAGCCGTCCACAAACAGTGAGATTGTTCAGACTGTGACACCCGACGGCAGCAAGCAACGGGCAGGAACAGCACGGCGAAGCACCCAATCTTTGGCACATGCGACTATGAGCGACAACAATAGGTGAAATGCTAAATGACTAGGTCGCCGGTTACGTAGTTGTGGAGAGGCTGAGCAAGGGGCCTGTACGTTTCCGGTCAATTCATTGGTCGCGGATGAAGTGATCTGACTTGTGATTGGCCGTGATGCTGTCAAAGACCCACTCTTCCGTTCGTCTTTGTCTGGGGATTTGAGGCTCTCGGGCCAAAAATGGGGCGGGCATTGTGATAAAGAACCTTGTCTCGCAGCACACAGGGCACCTGGCAGCTCTTTTAGTGCCACCTACTTCTAGCGCGACTGCCTAGACTTGCGACTTCGACTTCGAACTTCAACCACTGCTTAACGATTTCCCAACCCACCACTGTCTTTCCATATTCACGCCGACTTCCCACAACCAGGAAATAACGGCCTACTTTTTCGATACTACCCGACATTTATTCGAAGCGGAATCTCGAAACTACGCATCATTTTCCGCCTGACCGAACACGCGCCAATCGCGAATTGGTGACAACTGCCGATCAAGGCCAGGTCGACCTAGATCCCGCATGACGTACGACCCAGTCCAAGCGACCAGCAACCAACCTCACTTCTTACCCAAGCCTAAACGTCCACTCGCTCTCCCAACCGAATTTCCCACGAGCTCCCGAAAAAATACTTCATTCACCCGTCAACATGAGTGCTTCCCCCGCCGGCGCGCCTCCCACCGGCGTTGCTCCTAATGGGCCACAACCACCCAAGAAAATCATCCGCAAAAAGGCCAATGCCGATCCCCTCGTGGCTAGAAAGAAAACCCTTCCGAAACCCCCAATGGCACGACGACCTGCCGACTGGGAGGCCAGATCTCGTGCTTCGGAAACCGCCGGCCAAAACAGGTCGCTTCGCCAGCTCGAAATCAAGGCCATGGAGCACAAGAGGAAGAGATCCATGAACCCGGGGAAATGGAGTGAACAAGCGCAGGGCTATGTCGAAGAGTTCCCGCTGATAGTAACCAAGAAGCAGCTCATGGAGTTGCGGTTTCATGTCATGCAGCTCAACAACAAACACGGCAATCTGGACGTAACCGACCAAGACCAGTTCCCCCGCCCCGTCACTTTGCAACGCCGGGACCCCCGTCTGCCGCCTGCTCACCGCATGGCGCTCAAGGAAGAGATGGAGGATGTGCCGATGGACGATGCAGAGGCCGAGCGTATTCGGCAGGAGAAGGAGGCCAAAGAAGCCCAGCGTGCATTGGATCAAGCCAAGATCGCACCCGTCATGAAGCCGAATGAGCCAAATAAGCCGCAAAAGAAGGACAAGAGCTTGAAGACTCACGTCTTTCACGGAAAGCACTCAGAGGAGCACAAGAAAGCATTGGATCTGCGGTATCAGGAGACGCTTCCATGGCACCTCGAAGATGCCGAGGGCAAGTCGGGCGTCTGGGTCGGACACTACGTCGCCGGTCTGTCCGAAGTCAACTGTGCTCTCATCCAGACCCAGGATCAAAAGTTCCAAATGATCCCCCTGACCCGTTGGTATGCCTTCCATGAGAAGCCAAAGTTCAACGTTTTGTCCCTGGACGACGCCGAGAACATGATGAAGCAGAACAAGGACGTCAAGCGCTGGGTCATGCGCGACAGGGAGAGGGAGCTGACTCAAAAGGAGAAGGCCGATACTAGGATGTTCCTTGGTGGGCGTGCGCGTGTGAAGACGGAGAGCTACACATCGAGGGCTGCTCCCAAGTCCGAGAGACGGGACGATTTCGAGCTCGACATGTCAGGCGACGAGTTCCAGGACGACGATGAGACCCCCGGTTTCGAGGCAGAGGATGAGGATGCCAAGGAGGCCAAGGAGCGTATTCGTCGCGAGCAAGCTGCGGCCAACTTGTTTGGCGAGGGTGATCAGAGCAAGGTTGACGAGGAAGAGAGAGAGCGTCAGTTGGAGAAGCTCAGGCTGAAGAAGACGGGCAAGGAAGTCGTTAAGCGTTTGGTCAAGTTGGAGCACGCCATGGACTACGATGCAAGCTCCGACTCGGAGAGGGAGTCGGACAACCCCTTTGCCGATTCGGAGGAATCCGAAGATGAGCATGAGGAGAAGAAGGAGGGGGAGGAAGTCAAGGAAGAAGAGAAGAAGGATGGTGTTTCGGGTACCATCAGCAAGGGTACTGCGACGCCGACAGGCAAGCAAAAGGCTCCTGATTCTGCAAAGAAGAACAAGTTGAAGCGTGCTGGTTCGCCCAACTTGTCGGAATCTAGTGAAGCCGAATCGAGCCGGAAGAAGGCCAAGCTCGCTGCCAACAAGGGCACGGCATCCGTGGGCCAGAGCCGGTCGAATACTCCCCTGCCTGGCCGTCCCAAGGGGGCCACCAGCGACGGTGAAATGTCTGACGGCGGTGCGAAGAGCAGCAGGCCCCAGATTAAGCAGGTGCCTACGTCCAGGCCCGGTAGCCCTCCCCAGCCAGGTAAGAAATGCCGTTGTCCGTCGCTGATTGCATTCCTCGCTCTATGGCAGCTTTCACTCTGCTCTATGACGGCCATTCACGTCTGTGGCTTGGCTTCTTACATGGCTTGGAATTGTGTTCGACCATTCTTTGTGCTTTCGTCAAAGAGTTCATAACCTGAGTTATCAACCCTCTTTGTGACATTATCACCCTCCCATCGCTTCAAGTCACCGTTGATTCTGTATAAAACCCTTGTTACGGTCAACAGACATTCCCAATACTTTTTTTACAGCAATATCCGTTCCTTCACCCTTGCCGCCCCCCAGCACCTCTTTAATCTTCCTAAACACACACACGTTGGTCCACCTCCACTACCTCACTAACATGATCACACCCCCAGGCTCTCCCAGCGGCTCCCCGCCACCTACCTCGGGCGGCGCCACCCCAGCCAACGACTTCATCAAGCCCGAAGAAGTCATGGCCGCCATCGACCAGTACCCCAACGGCGTCGCTCTCGCCGTGCTCATGAAACCCTTCAGTCATCGCATCGATGCGACGCCCAACCGCTCCAAGCCCCACCTGTCCACCAAGTCCGAGTGGCTTGGCATGGTCAAGCGCTTTGGTTACTTAGGTCCCGACAAGCTCATTAGGCGCAAGACGGGCCCCGCTCAAGGTGGAGGAAGTGGTGCTGCTAGCCCTCAGTCGTAAAACGGCAGCGGCATGCCCTAGGCTCTTGATGAGGAAGCACCGGCGGCGGCGGTTCATGATGGAACGGGGGACTGTAACTAGGAATGGAACAGAATATCGGGCTGGAAGTGATAAGCCGGCTCAGGAAGGAGGGGAAGTGGTTATGCTACCCCTCCGAAGACAGACAGGCGACACAAGTGCAGAATGCCTGTCATCCAAGCTGGAAACTATGGTCAACGACAAACCTGAACCGAAACGGCCGATTCGAATTTGAATCCGTGGGCTGATTCGCATCAAAATATTACACCGATCGCCGAGTTATGTGGTTCCAAAAAGTTGAAGTTGTTTTGAAGAGGCTTTGGCTAGAAGAGCAGCAAATTACCTACAAGAGATCCTCACATAGGTATAAGCGGTTGGATTTTGCACGATCGATATCGCAATATCACTACTTTATGACATTACTCCTTGAACATGGCGGAGACGAAGATATTTAGGCCAACACTTGTCGATTAGACAGATAGTACCTAGCAACAGACCTCATTTGAAGCCATGTCATGCATCTTGCGGTGCTTGGTGAAGATATTGTTCTTGCTCCTTCAATGTTGTTTCTTTGACTAGTGATGAAGAATAATCTGCCCTAGTCACTTAACATTTATTTCGGCTTGTGCCACCCTGAACTTCTTCGCCAAACTCTTAATTACCCTGTAAGACGACCAGCCGGCCCTGTTCTTGTTCATATTTGAACAACCCGTAAAAAATTTAACTTTGACGCCGAACACCAAACAAGGTAACTAATCCAAACTTTTTCTTTTTCCATCGTTCATCATTAACCATTCACCATCACCGTAACCCTTCTAGAGCAATCCCATGTTGGGTGGAGAAACTACTCATCCATCTGCCAAGCATACTCCAAGCCTTTGTTCCTCTCCCGCCGATTAATCGCCTTGAACCGTTCTGCTTCAAATCCATTACTCCTGTCCACTCCATCCCACCTATAGCCCGGTTTGATGCCGTACCGATTCGGCGGTGCCGGTCCTTTGTACGTCGGTCTCCTCCCCGCCGTCTCTTTTCTCCTTCCCTTTACCTTGACTTCTTCCGGGGCAAGGAACTGCGCCATGGGATCATTCCATCTGTCCTGCTGCTTAAGTTCGGCATTGAGTTGTTCGTCGTCTTTGGAACGGGCAAGAGGCATCAGTTTGGCTTCTTCTAGTTCTTCCCTCCTCCGCCGCGCTTGCTCGAGTTGGACTTCGCCCTTGAGGGCACGTTTCTTTTCTGCTTCCTTGCGTTCAGCTTCGGCTTGTTGTCTGCGCGCTTCCGCACGTCGCATGGAAGCATCGATTCGTCGACCGGTGGCGTCGCGCAACACTAGCTCCTCCTGGTCTTCCGGATGCTGCTGGTCGCGTTCGGCTCGGATCCTCTCCAACTCGCGACGCTCGGCTTCTTGGCGAGCCTTTAACTGAGCAGTGATGGCGGATGCGGACTGTAGTCCCGCGTGCGTCCCGTTGGACATGATGGGTGCTTGCGTGGCTGTTTCGGCCGGTTGGTGCGACCGCGTGAGGGCCGTTGCCCCCGTTGTGGTGTCGACGACGAGAACTTCATCATCCCCGCCCGCTTCGCGCGCCAGTGCCGCTGTTTCGGCAGCTGTTTGCGCTAGGATCGCATCGGCGGCCGCCGCGGCGTCTATGTCCTCCTTTGTGGAATTTGTCGTGGTACTTGTTGTGGCCTGTTTTGTGAAGGCTGATGAAGAGCCGACGGTTTTCCATCCGGATTTTTTGGCTTTGCGAAAATCAGCTGATACTACCACCGCAGCGAGCACGGGACCATCGAAATCGTCATCGTCAGAATCGCGTTTTGTGGCTTGGGCCCAAGAGGTGTCGTCGTCGTCGGCTATAATGAGGCCATCTTCTGCTGATTTGTTCTTGCGCTTGCGTTTTTTGGAGGTGGAAGAGGAGGATTTGTTGGGCGGGTCGGTGGAGAGGTAATGGGCTGCTAGGTAGGCGGCTTTGTCTGAGGGCATTTCTGCGTTGATGTGGTTTGGTTTGGCTGGGTTGTCCTGTTTTGGTCAGGTGGGTGCGATGGTGCTTGTTGATCGTCGATTGTTGATTTGAAGCGATGGCGATGGTGGTGCTGATGATGTTGATTAGATTGCGGTTGCCGGTGTGTGTACACAGTACAGGTGGGCTGTACCTCCAATTGGCCCGTGCGTTGGTGCTGCCTTATCGCTGGCTCCATTTTCCACGCACGAAGATAAGATAGGGGAAGACGTCCAGTGACATCACTGGTGACACGGACTGGTGATGGTTCCGCTGTCGGCGATGGTGAGAGCCGATTGTGAATGTGGCATGTGGTGGAAGGTATCACAAAATAAAACTCCAGAAAGTAAGACAGACTCAGATTTGGGATCGGTGGTGTTAGTGTGCTTGGATTCATCGGTGAATTCAGGGATATGTGTGACTATTGCACACGGACTATGCCTGGCTCGTGAGCGTTCGGGTTGTCCATCATCACGGCTATCAATGATGTTCATCAATTGAAGCCTTCCATCATCAATCAGAGACTCGAATGTCAGAGGTCCTGGGAGTTTAGAATTCAGCCGGTTGGTTTCATCTCTTGGTACGGACCATACTAGTCACATCACGCCCATCACGCCCCGGATAGGCGACAAGACGCGAGAAACAACCTCAACAGCTGAGCAGGCGATCGAGTTACGGTGAACACGGCGAAATAGCCGAACAATCGCGCACGCCGTATAAGCACCTGCTCTTATTCGACCATGGTAAAGTACCTGGATCGCGTCTCCTTCATTCCAAAAGGCGGCTATGGAGATGACGGAGATGGGTCAGCAGACCACGCCTCGTGGGCCTTGGCATATCCCTGCCTTCTTTGACCTTTGGACTGGGGTGGAAGTTATGCAGTGGCAGGAAGTGAGGCTGGCCCGGGAGAGGAAAAGGGGGGTTGACCAAACTTGGATAGTGTCCTGGTCCAGATAGATGATGATGATGATGGCGTCCATCAACAAACATTACTGGTCGCCGTTGTTGAACACTTGTTCGAACATGATTGCAATCTAGGTGCCATTCTGTCTCCTAAAGACCACTTGTGTACCTATGTGCGCAGTAGGAGTAGCCCAGAGAGGACGCCGATATCGCGGTGTGGTTGTCAATGTGTCGGCTTATCATTCTCCACTGCACGCGCTGACGGATGCTACCCTGCAGAAGAGACGCATGCGCCCCTGATTGACGGAGCATCATCATCCTCGGCATCCGGCGAGGACCTTGCTGGACAGAGAGCCGTAGAGGTACCTGGGGCCGATGAGCGATAAGCTTAGTGAACAACAAACCTGGGCCTTCTTCAGAGAATCCTTTCGACGGCTACAACTGGCGTTTCGTGTTTATTAATTCAGAGGCCACGAGAACATGTTTAAGCACCCAAAATACCTTCAAATCGGTTGATCTTGCTCAATGTGGAGGTACATGTACCGACCGGGCTACGTAACAGTCCCCGCAATGCAATCGGTTACCCCGTGCTGCGCTGCTCTAGCGTCGTTGGCGGGATCGCTTTCCCCACATCCCCTCCCGGCTGCACTGCACCGCATCCGGGGCAAGTCGGAGACTCCAACAACCTTTTCCCATCCGTTTCTGCTGAAGGTGAATGGCAGGAGATAGCAAGATGCCATTGTTGACATGGAGAGAAGCATGTGTAACAGCTGTTGAGACCTGAGTGCAATTGACCTGGATCCAAACACACCCGTCCATCTATCGCAAACGGGACGAGCGGGACCCAACTCAACGGACACGGGCATCCAACAAACATGGACGTTCCAGGTAGGATGAAACAAAGTCGCCGTTCAAAGGACCATTGCTGATCCAAGGCGTAATCAAAACGGCCAATGTCATCATCAGCATTATCAAGCCAGAGGCCGACTACAAGAAGAGAAGGCGTGTATCGACTCTTCAACCTCAGTGGACAGAGCAGCGTGGGCGGTTGGACACAAAATGGGCAGCTGGTGTGCACTGTGCCTCGGTGCCTCGACCGCGCCGTGCTGACTTCTCAACCAGGACACTCTGCTATGCTATGTACCGAGATGGAAGTCTCTGGCTTCCTGCCACTGTCGTCACTTGGCCTTGTCCCATCCAGGTCATGAGGTACCTACCTACCAGGGTACTTCCCACATGCACTCTGGGCACTTTGCTCCATGCCGAAAGGAGTCTTGATAAGAAACGGTCCCCTGGGATGGATTCCAAACCTAGCGAAAGGTGACCATCTCGTGTCTCAGCAAGGTATCGATGTCCTTTTGACAGTGACCCGTGTGTTGCTGATAGTACATTCTACCCTCCATCAGAAGAATCCAGGCAGTAGTGCTGGCCATGGCTCGTTGATGGATAAAACGAAGGGCTTCCGCTGTCCCTCCTGCTTTGCGTCCATCTTGCAAAGTCCAACAACCCAAGAGTCAGCACAAACACCGTACGGATACCATCGATAGCCTTATCACTGGCTGTTTCTGTTCTGTTCAAGTTCCTTGTTACCGTCATCGAACAGCGCGTCATCGCTTATTGGCCCCCGTCTTTATCGCTTATCACTGCTCACGCCTCAACTGTTCCCAACTGGGAAGTCGCTTCCTTGAGTCACTCGCCGGCAATATCCTGAGCGAGGTTGTCTTCTCAGCCAGCGTTTTCAATAGAACACTTAGTCAGGCCTTAGTTTGACTGCCCGTTTCTTCAGTCATTCACAACCTGCACCTGATCCAACCGTGTTGCTTTTAAATCATCGCAACAAAGCCGTTCTTTCTCCTCCCAACTCTCTCTCTCTCTCTCACACATTCTCTTTCACCACCACAACAAGGACGCTAAAGAGCCCCTCCACTAGCTCAACCTCAACCGAACAACCATCACCGATCACCTTCCGTCCCCCCACCAGTTCAGTCATCACAAAAACTTCCATCTATCCATCTCGAACTCCCTAGGAACCTTCTCTCTCTCAGATCCCGCCGATTACAACTCTATTTCCATAATTGGTACACTTGGCAGATCGACAGGGCCCAAAGTCCAAAGATCCCCAGTATAGTACCATCAAGGTTCTTGGCAGTCAACTAGTCGATACCGACCCTAAGGCCAACCACCCCCGGCACGTCACGCACGCCCTTGTCTCCATACCTACACCGCTGTGGTACCTAGGTTAACCCCCGACCGACCGAATACCCTTGGAGGATTACATCACGAATCGAATCAAAAGGGGTCCGCATTCCGTCTTTGTCTAGTTGGAAAGCTGTCAAGTTTAAAGTACTTTGGCTTCATCTAGTCAACCTTTCCCGGAACCATCCTCTCTCTACATCCTCAAACACTACCGCCAACAATAACTCCTACAACTAATTATTATTATCATCATAATCATCATCACCACCAACCGTAACCGTCATCATCATGGCTACCTCCCTCGAGTCCTCCGTCCAGTACGAGCGCGACCTCCGCAGCTCCCACAAGGAATGGAAGCGCAGCAAGGACTCATCTACAAAGTGGGCCTCGGGCACTCGCGAACTCCCCGGCGTCAAGAAGAACTGGATGACGGGTGAGCTGCTTGGCAGTGGGCACCCCAATCAGCTGATCAAGTCGCGACCAGCGAGGAAAGTGCGGGATTCTAGGTGAGTTTCACTTCTTCACCCTTTACCTTTCTCTTGCTGTTTTTGGAGAAACTAACCCCTCTGTCCCCAACAGCTGCGATTACCCCAAACAGTCCTCCCGCAACCTCTACAAGCTCCGCCACGGCGGTGGCGCTGGCCGCTCCAACAACATTGGCTACCACTCCATCAACTTCCCCAAGCTCTTTGCGCACAAGGACATCCGCTACGATGACCGCGAGGATTACTCCGCCGCCCCAAACCCCCCATCACCATCTCTCCTCCCCAAAAACCTCTTCTCATCAGTAACAGCAGCAGAGGATAACTTCCTCTACTCGTTCGACCAAGACTCCACACCCGGATTCAGTCGGACCCCTTTGACTTTGGAAAACTTTGTCAAGACGGATGACCGCAAGACGGAGAAGTTTGTCGAGAAGGAGTACGAGATTCTGGATGCGAATGGAGAGGCGTTGAAGGGGCGGAAGGCGAAGAGAAGGGGTTTGAGGGGCGGTGCTGCTGCGGGAAGCTCGCAGCAGGAGGATGAGGATAGAGTTGAAGAGGATGACGGGTTTGAGCTGATTTGATGTCGTCAACATCTCAATCCTCTCTTCTTCTGCGTTTCCCTACATGCTTCGATTTTCCCTTCCTGGCATTTGCCTCCTTCTCTTCTTCATCCATCCCTGGCGAGGTTTTTGCTCTTACATTACACACACCTATTTCGCTCAAATCAGCCGGCGTGTTCTTTTCTTACAATTGTTCTAAACAAGGGTGGTGGCAACACCTACCTCACAACATAACTACATATCATGGCGGGCGCAATCATGGGGTGGGGTTTTCGGAATTGGCGGATGGACGGACGGACGGACGGACGGATAGGATGATTGATGGGTTTGCTTGGCTTTTGGCTTTCAGTCAGCAAACGAACATATGATCGTTAGAAATCATGAATGAGGCTGATGGATACCTCATGCAGACAGACACACACTGCAAGATAAATACCCAAATAACAAATAAACAGTATTAGTAGTAGTCGGGCTTGATTGCGGGCATGTTTTGATGAAGTTCGTCGATGTCTGTTTATTCTTTGTGTAAAGTTTGCCATTGATAACTTGGCGGGTATCATACGTCGTCGTTATGTGTGTGTGTCGTGTGAACGCGTTTCTGTTCTACAACATTGTTGTTCTACATGCCTCGTCTCGTCTCCATCTTTTTTTCCTTGCCTCTGTTAGTCAATGTCAGTTTACATTTTTGATGCAAAGAGCAGATTGCGCAGTCTCACCTTAATTTTTCAAACGTACCTCCATGAACCACGTCGTTCTTCCCCCCAACTCCGTTCCATTTCGCTCGTTAATCCCACGGGTATGTATATCAAGTCCTTTTCGCTGCTGCCGCTGTTGACGCCGATTTTCCAAAGTCACGCCCACCTAGCCAGAGTTTCAATTATGGCTCACCACTATACTATCCTCAAAAAGATGGATGTTTGCGCCCCCTCAGAGGCAATCAATCATCCAAAACTCCTCCCCATCAAAAGCTCATAGTAAGCCCTCTGCTCGGAATCAAACAATAAAAAGTCATCATCAGCATCCCCAGCAGCGGCACCACTACCACCACCGCCGCCGCCGCCGATACCGCCATGGTACGTCCCATCGTAATCATTCCCATTCCCATTCCCGTTGATACTCCCACTTCCACCACCACCTCCTCTACCACCACCTCCGCTGCCGCCGCCGTTGAAATTCACATTAAAATGCTTGCTGCTGCTACTGCTGCTGCCATTTGGTCCGCCTAGCGGGTGGTGATACTGGTGATGGTGGTGGGACATGGACATGGCAGACATGATTGGATCGGGATTCGCTCCCATGCTGTAAAAGTCGGCGATGGTCTCGTCGGGCGCGAACCCAAGGGGACGGAGGGTTTGGGATTCTCGTGAGGAGCTGTTGTTTGTTTTGGAAGTCAATTACCATGAGAGAGATAAAGGGGGCCATGAGAAAGAGAGAAAAGGGGGGAAGGTGATGGGGGGATATAAAACGTACGATTGCGCAGCGTCTTTGGCTACGATGTCTGAGAGGGTGGAGTCGTTTATTGTGAATTTGGGTGGGGCGGTGGTGGTGGTGGTGATGGTGTTGAGGGTGTTGAGAGTGGGTATCCCTGTGCTTGTGCTTGTGACAGGGACGGGGCGGGGTGCTGGTGTTGTTGTTGTTGTCATTGTTGTTGTCGTCGCTGTTGTTGCTGGTTGTAGTATTGGTGGCGGTGGTACCGATACCGACGGTGCTGGTGATTTCGTTGGGGATATCGACGCTCGTCTCCCTCCTTCTCCTCCTCCTCCTCCTAGACCCGCTTCCGCTGCGACGGACTGCCGTTGTTGCAGTTGTTGCAGTTGCTGCTGCTGCTGCTGCTGCTGCTGCTGCTGCTGCTGCTGTTGCTGTAACTGAGCCAAATCCCTCGCTACTTGTCTCCTTTGTTCCGTTTCTCGTGCGAATCTTTTCGCGGGTGGTGCTTGTCCTCCTAGAACTCCTTGAGCAGCAACACTCGGAGACCCAACACCAAGACCGCCCATTCCTTCATCCTCCTGCTCCCCATCCTGTGTAAGAGCACTACTCCCTTCCCTCCCTCCATCCTCGCCCCCTCCCCCAACACCGCCCGCCGTCCCTGGCCTCACCGCCCCGAAAAAAGCCCGAAAAACTCCACTACCCTGCCACCGGGCAATCAATCCCTCCTGCGCATTCGCATCCTTGATACTCGTAATGATCTGCTTCCCCTGAGTGCCGGCCGCCCTCAGATGGCCCTCAATCAGGGCGTCCAGTCCGGGAATGGCGCCAAGTACGGCTCCCCATGCTGCGGCGCTCTCTTTGTACGTGTTGAGAGCTGTTCGATAACCCTTTTGAGGGCCGCGACGTTTTGTCGGACGCAGGTACAGACAGGGTTTGTTATGTTTGGTGCAGACGGAACATTTGGGCTGGCCGTTGTCGCAGGGTTGATGGTTGACGTGGCAGAAGTCGCAGCTGGGGGGGTTGGGTTAGTATGTGGGTTGGGGACAACTGGAAAGAGGAGGGAGCTGGATGGGATGAGTGCATGCGGTTGGGGAAAAGTAAGACTCTGATAAATTAAGAAACTCACGCTCGTGAAGCCTTTTTGCGCTTTCGGGGGTTGACGGGTTCGGAGCCGGCGTCGGCGCCCGTGTCGGAGGGCGGAGGTCCCGGTGTTAATGTTGAGGGGCCGGAAACCGGAGCGGAAGCGGGAGTGGTGACTAATGGGCCGGTTTGTAGTTGTTGCTGATGTGGAGGCGATGGATGAGCGGAAGTGTGAGCTGAAGGAGTCGTGGTTCGAGACTGTCGAGTCTCATCGTGGGCATTATTTGGCTGTTGAGCCTGTTCCTCAGCGGCGCCGAAGTCCTCCATCTGATGGTGCGTGTGAGACAACGTGTTCAAGGCGGACCCCCATAGACAGATGGAATCAATTGCCGGGAGACGCGCGGGAACTACGGGAAGATAGGTAGGGAGATGGGATGAGGCTGAGATACCGGTACGATGGAACCGAGCACTAAGCATGTGCAGCAAATTCGGGTGAAAATATTTTTGAGATTTGGACGACGATGAGATTGACGACGATGACACCTCCATAAGTTTCGTTGAGGAAATTGATAGCGCAGCCGCGTCGCTAATGGCTCGGCGCTGTTCAGTTGCCAAGTGTTATTGTGCCACTAACAACGGAGCTAACGCCGACGCCCCGTGCTTTATACCCCGACGCCGGGCTTGGCTACGATGAGGCTCTGTCTGAGTAGAGGAGTTGACGATGGTGATCGAGCATATGGGCAGGGTAAGCTGAGTAAGATTATCATTTGTAACCATGGAGGGCTACGGCGGAACATCAAAAAATCCAAAGTGAGGTTGATGACGACTAATCGGAGTGTCAGTCATCATACACGGCATGAAGTCGGGCTGCCTTGTAAGACGGGACGGTATGGCGAAATGATAGTGCGTTATCTTGACAACCTGAACAGTGTCAGTAATGGAATCCAAAGCACCGTCATGTCAGGGCTAACGGATACAGACAGACAGTCAAACGAAGTATTAGATAGGTAACTTTGGAACTCAAATCTTTCCTTCATACTTCTTCGTAAAATCAAGACCCAAGAGCCGGCGACGATGAACAACGGAAGAAGTGAAGAAGCTCAAGAAGGAGGAGAAAAAAGCTGGAGGGGCGGAGCGTGCTGAGGTGGAGAGTTAAGACACCACCAAATCGGGATTGCGGGGAAAGCCCACTGAAGCTTGGCCTGCAACGGTGTGGTGGTTGCAGTGGGAAGGGTCTCAGGGACTCTCTTCATCCGCTCCTCCACGGGGTAAAAGCAGGCTAGTAACGGAAAAAGCTTTGGTGGGAGTTACATTTTCCCGCTTCGGGCCTCATGGAAATCCCGTTTGTCACAATCGGCATTCCATCTGCCGAACGTCCAGAACATGGCCAAAACACCAATCACCGATTCTGGCGGTTGATGATAAGTGCACAATATTGACCTCACTACCACGCCTTCCGACCACATCGGCTACAACGACGTTACATCGCCGTGTCCCGGTCCCGGTCAAAGTTCGAGTGGGTATCTACATTTCGACCTTCAGCTCGATCCTCTAGATAGATACCCTTTGATCCCCCGTGTTGGCCCACACATCTTTGACATCGACAACATTTCCATCAACAAGGCCACTCATCTCACAACACGAGGGATATCAACAAAACGATACATGTGAGCGGCACCAGCACATCTACCTCAACATCTTCAACAGACAACACCACCTCATACACATACACAGCCAGGAGCCATGTTAGGGCCAAGGAATGAGCGGGTATTCGACCCGAACGCGTCCATCGTTCTCGTTGGATGTCGAGGAGCTGGAAAGCGTACCCTCGGATTTATGGGCGCCCTTCATCTGCGCCGCCGCCTAGTCACCGAGGACCATTACTTCGAAAAACTGACTGGCATATCCCGCGGCCAGTTCCTCCTTCAGCACGGAAAGGACCTCTTTGCGCGCCAGGATGTCGAAGTTTTCAAGTGCATGCTCGACAGCAACCGCTTCGGGTGCATCATCGAGTGCGGTATGAGCAGTCTCAGCGAGGAGGCCCAAGACGCCTTGCGCGAGTACTGCAGGACGAACCCCGTCATCTATATCCACCGGGAAAGGGAGCAAATAGCAGCCTTGTTGGATGCGACAGATGCCACGGCTCTTCTCAAGGCGGATGAAAAGCATAGGGAGTGCTCCAACTTTGAGTTCTACAACTTGGATGACTCAGCAACCCATTGCGTTGGTACCTCCACATCAGCGGATTGCCAACAGACGGTTCCTTCAAAACTACTCAATGTCCGGGAAGACTTCACAAAATTCCTGGATCAAATCACCGGCAGAGGCGCAACCAAGGCATGGCTGGAAAGCCCCTTTTCGGTTGTCGCCATTCCGCCCGAGTTCCGATCCTATTCATATACTTTGCGCCTTCGCCTATCCTACCTGCAGGAACTGGACATGGCACTGGAAGAGTTTGAGGCCAGTGCAGATTGTGTTGAGTTCATTATTGATCAGTGGCCCGGCGATGTCGCTGAAGTGGTATCAAAGCAGGTAGCCCTCCTCAGGAGGAAGCTGGGGCTGCCCATCATTTACCATGTGGAAGAAAACCCCCGAGGACAACGACGAAGGGCGCCAGAGGAGAAGAACCCAGTGGACTCAGATCTGCTTGAACTAGGCCTACGACTGGGCGTCGAGTATCTGAGCGTGGATTTGCAGCGCGACGAATCTCTCATACAACGGGCACTTCGTTACAAGGGCCGGTCCAAAGTTATAGGAAACTACTGGTACATGGGCTTCGGAGCTCCTCCATGGCACGACGACCAACACCTCGAGAACTACCGACGCGCACAGTCTCTCGGCTGCGACCTGGTCCGGATGGCCCGCTTCTCTACAGGCGACAGCCCCGTCGGATATCTCGAGTCCTTCAAGAAGCGGGTAGAGCAAACCATCCCCAACCCGCGCCCACCCCTAGTTGCCTACGACTTCTCCGTCCTCGGCATCCGCACCCCCTTACAAAGCAAGATTCTCAACCCCGTCAAACACCGCGACATGGACACCGACCATGACTTTATCGCCATTATCAACACCTATTCACACTCCTATGGCCTCGAGTTCCAACAGTTCCTCCTCGACCCGCTTGAGTTCTACGTCACCGGCTCCAACGTCTCCTGGTCTCTATCCCCCGCAATGCAAAACGCCGCCTACGAGTTCTCGGGGATGCCGCACACCTTCCAGGCCGTCACCTGTTCTACCTTGGACCGGCTCACCCAGATTTGCTTGTCCGACACCTTTGGCGGCGCCAGCTTGACCGCTCCCTTTAAACTCGCCATCATGCCCCAGCTCAAGGTCAAGTCGCACCACGCCACCGCCATTGGCGCCGTCAACGTTGTGCTGCCGCTTCGAGGCAAGACCAATGCGATTCTGGACCATGCCAACTCTCGCAACAAGGCCGGTGCGGCGCAGGAGTTCTTTGGCGATAACACCGATTGGAGCTCTATCTTTACTTGCCTCCGGCGCGCTATTAGTCCGAGGAATTACGTTCAACCCTCCAAGACCACGGGGCTGGTTATCGGTGCGGGCGGCATGGCGCGCGCAGCTATTTATGCACTTATTCAGCTTGGTTGTAGAAACATTTTCATCTATAACCGAACGGTGGAGAGGGCGAGGGAGGTGGCGAATCACTTCAATAATTGGGCTAAGGGGCAGCAGGGGATGGTTGTCATGGCGAAACCGAGTGCGGATGGGTCGCAACTACCGACACTGGAGATTTGCAGGGTCATTGAGAGATTGGCGGATCCGTGGCCGGAGGGTTATCAGTTGCCTACTATGATTATTTCATGTGTGCCCGCGACGAGTCTGGACGGGACGCCGCCGGCGGATTTTGTGATGCCGGAGGGGTGGTTGAGGAGTCCGACGGGGGGTGTGGTTGTTGAGGTAAGTTATTGCTTCTACTTTACTTATCAACCTACTATGTCCAAATCCCATCACTTCCTGTTCCCTTACACAAGATGTTCCATCACCAACACCAACTGACAATCTTCACAGCTCGCCTACGAACCACTCGTCACGCCCCTAGTTGCCCAAATGTACGCCTACCGAGATCAAGTCAATCCTTCCTGGGTTGTCGTCGACGGTCTCGAGGTCGTTGCGGAGATGGCCATCGAGGCCTTTGAGCTAATGACAGGACGGATGGCGCCCAAGAGACTGATGAAGGATGTTTGCAGGAGGACGTGGGAACAACAGCAGCGAGGTGGCGGTGATGGGGCTTCGGGGTTGGTGTTATGATGATTGACTGCCTACCTATTTTACCTACGCCTACTTCTTGATTTGATAGATCACGGACCAGACCGAGCTGGAGCTTTGTTGATATTATGTGAGTGACCAAGACCGTTCTGATGTTGAGGCTCCATAATTTTTCCGGCGCGATACCTTTTCACATGTCCAACAATAACGAGATTGTCTGTTTGCCTTTCCCTACTACCCTCCTTTTTCTAGTCGGCCATCATGTCTTACCATTCAATAGTCGAGTAGTCCAACCCCCCATCGCACTTCACTAGTCGCCTTCGCGGTCTCAAGAACCTTGTCCAACGGGTATGAATTATGAGATCGTCCAACCGGTGTAGGTATATGGACACGTAGAGTTGAAGGGCAGAGTGGGTGCTAAAGTTATGAGGTTCCGCAACGCTGCGCCTGTGGCAGCTGGTGACTTTGGCGCTTTGGTGTTGTCCTACTGGTAAAAGATTTTGGGCGTGTATGGGTGAAGTGTACGTGGACGCCTAAGGTTTTGATGTCCCGGCATTCCAGGAATCTGGTACACGGTTGTTCATCTGCAAGTGTAGATACTGGATCCGGATATGAACTTCGTGCGTCTTGTATTATATCCTTGAACCCAATTCCCAGGCAGCTCCGAGATGGAAGAATTCCCAGAAGACTTTGGCTGATATATCTTTACAGTAATCGTGATTCCTATCACCCGAGCATATGTCTGGCAGACTTTCTACCTTCTGATCAGCTATCAAAAAAGATACGGTGTTTGGTGGATTCCGCGAGATTATACCGTCAGGACCGTAATCTTACGATCGTTTGCCACCGTACCAGACATACTCTGGTCATGCAATCAAGAGTTCAAGATTTTGACACAGATTCCCTGTTTTGGTTACATATAGTATGCTCTTCGGATAATTTCCATGTCCAGTTAAGTGCTGTGCAGGGAAAGGATGCATGAAGTTACGGAGGGGAGGGACATGATCGGGCGGGGGCTGTCTGATATTGCTTGTTTGGTGATGGTGATGGTGAGTGGTAATTTTGACGGTTCACTCAACTATTGAGTCTAGTATTCATACGTTTTGTCTTCCCTCACCTCAGATTAAATTTTTTTTTTTTTTCTTTTTTTTTTGCCGGGATTTTTCGAAGATTAAATTAGCGGAAGTGGCGGGTCAGACACAAGGGAAGTGAAGACAAGATCCAAGGTTGCTGGTCTGGAAAGTGGAAGGAACGTCTGGCCGCATGTACATACCTTGACTTCTGCAATGCAGAGCAAGACCTTGAAAGTATTGACAAAAAAACAAGAAAGAAAAAAAAAAAAACAAGTGTTCCTTTCGCTGCGCTAGAATTATTTATTCTCCTCTTTGCCAACTTCTCATTCCTCTTCCTCTTTTCTTCTTGCCTTCGCTACTAAAAAAAAACTTTCATCTCGCCCGAACAGAATCAAGAACAGCCAAGCAACTTCTGCCTCTCTTCAACTACTTTTCCCTTTCTCCTCCTCTTACTGCTCTCAAGCCACTTGCCGCTGCTCTCATCAACGATTACTTCATTCCAAACTTCTTCCCCAGGCACTGCTCAAAACCGTGATGCAGACGTGGTTTCTACAATGGCAAATCAAAGCAAGATCTCCTTCTTGAGCCTCCCAGTCGAACTCAGACTCCAAATCTACAGGCTGACGTGGGACCTGGACCCTGAACCGTACACCTTCTCACTCACTACGTACCATGACCCAGGGTCCCTGAAACACGACCTTCTCAAAGATCAGCTAACTCACCTTCGGAAACTCAACAGCCTGTGCAGGTTCATCCGAAGCGAAGCCCTCTCCGAATTCTTCTGGCGGACGCAAGTCTATTTGCGTCATGAGCCCTACTCGAACATAGACGGTGCTTGGTATTCGGACGAGTATCAGCAGGGTCTCGACCTGATCATCAGGGATCCTCTTCTCGCCAAGTATACCAGGCACGTCTACTGGGCCATAATGCTCGACAAAGATGTGGAGGACATTGATCGGCACAAGCACAGAGGCATTCGAGAGTACAAACCGGAGTTTAAGGTGCCTGACATGCCCTGGCCCTGGGAATCGTATTACTTTGTCATGCGGCTACCGAATCTGACGACTCTCCATGTCGATGTCGAAACCTACAAAGACTGGCACGATTTGCGCATGTGGTCTTGCTGTATGGCTGAACTTTATGAGTGGCCCACGATGAAGAAGATCACTCTTCGACTTACCTTCAAGACGGCCAAGAGCATTATCACGAAGGCACACCGATCGCGATGGGTCAGGCGAGGACGCTCACAGGAGCGGTTGACAAGGAATATCTTGAACCATCTCCTGACACTACCCAAGGTATGTCTCCTCCACCTTGCCATGATCATCTTTGTACCAAATTCCCAGGTCTTTTATTTTTGATACGTCAACACCGCAGACAATGTGGATGGTGAGTTAACTAATTTTCTGCCTCGACAGGATACGTATCGCGACGCTCCATGCCATATCATCCAAAACCATTTTGGCTATCAGTGCCCCGTGTGGCGCCGTGAGGAGCGGCTCTAAGGGATGCACGAGGAAGACAGAGAAACCATAAGGCTCTTGTTTACTCTATATACATTCACGCGCACCTTCCTAAAGTATCTCCAACCTCAACCGGCTCTCACCTTTCCTGTATGGTTTCTGGAAGGTGGACTTACAAATACCTCTTACTTGTAGGATACCGTATTTTCATCCCAAGGTCGACGTCATACTGGCTGACTGACCATTCACCCCGAGCTCGTGCCTGCCGTGTATCTGAAGTCCTTTCCGCAATCCTCAAATTGTGGGCTCTGGCGCACCTCCGCCTCGACCTTGACCCATTCAAAATTGTTGGCCGGCCGTTCCTTTTGGCGCCCATTCACTGTGCTTTCATTCACTGGCCCTCCCGTCCTGGGTATTTAGGCTGCCCTGCTTTTTCCCTTCTTCTCTGTTCCTACTACCAGAATCAACATCTTTTCGTCGTCCCAGTCCAACACAAATCTATCCTTTTGTAACGATTCTGATCTCCCGCCTCTCAACCCGTCAGAAATCCCATCGCTTTTCCATTCTTTCGCCACATCAATCAAGGCAAATCACAGAAGCTTCCTCCTTTGGAGCTGGAAGCCCTTCCCCCCAGACAGAATGGGCTCCCATTCGGTATTCCCCTTTTTACACCTTCCTGCTGAGCTCAGGCTCGAGATCTACAGGCATGCCTGGACTGTTTCAGAGGAAGACCACGTGTACCGAGCCTACTACCCTTACGACGACAGCAATTTGGGCCTCACAGTCGACTACCTGAAAGCTCAACTTTCGGCAATCCGCAAATTGGGTGCCATCAGCCAGCGCATCCGTACGGAGTCTTATTCGGAATATTTCGACCACACGCAAATCATGCTCCGCTACGATTGCGTCGTAGACATCGACGACTCCATTGGTGATCACGTCTGGGATGACCGCAACAGAAGCGCGCTGTATATCATCGGCAGCTCATACCTGCTTCAGACCCAGGCGCGGCACGTCTACCTGCATTGGCCCGCTCGTTCAGAATACCATATACTCTATGCACTTTTTGGCGTGACGCGTGTGGACATCCGGATGCGAGAAGAGCTGCTCAACGAGCAGTGGGCTTTTGGGTGTCTCTCTCGCTTCAGGAACCTGAGAAGTCTGGATGTTCATATGTGTGAAGGCTTGGTCGATCTCATGGGCGGAAAGAAACTCAAGCGCTTGCTTTATGACGGCGACCGCCGCGCAAAGCTGATCGAGGCGTTGAAGACGCACCATCAAAAATTGGAGAAGGCGGTTGTGCGGACGGATCTTGACGATCCCGAAGATATCAAGGATTTGAATGAGCTTCATGCATTCAAGTGGTGGCGCCGACTCAAGAAGGACATTGCAGTTTTGGCCTCCGAAGGCCCTTCCAGCGCGGTATGTACATGATTTCCATTCTGCGTGCAATTGACCTGTCCTCCTCAGCCCCTTTGCATTTGGCTCCATAGGTGTAGAGGGAGCAGTTCACTAACATACCCTTGCGCAATTCTGGTAGAAAGGGAAAAAAGAGAACACGTACGTGTTCAGGCAACACATCGGCGGCCTCAAGACTTTCTGGCCGAGGGCATCCACGTTATGATTTTCGAGCGCGCAAGCGACTGTCCCCAGACCATACCAATGGTGAGAGGTAGAAAATCCGTGTGGTATTTGCGACGGTTTGGCGTAGGAAGATTCAAAACGGTGTTGAGTCCATGTGTTGTAAGAAGCACGATCCGTCGGATGGAGAAGACTTGAATCTGTGAAAACATCCACGACATAGACTACGGACCACAAGAGAAGATCGTGGACAATAAAGATCAAGAGATATACATGAGGAGGGAAGAAGTGATGGAAGTGATGGAAGGGAATAGTGAGGCAAAAGGTGGAGACGGGAGATCCAACGACTTTATGGACATGGTTGATTTGAAGAGAAAAAAGCAAAAAGTCAAGGCCTAGCTAGACCTAGGGAGTCCGAATCTTTGGCCCAAATTCCTGAAAGCCCACCAAACATCTAATCAGCCTTCTTCGTGGCTAATACTGATGAATGGCTTCGTTCCCCTTTATGATAAGCTTCTTCTGTGCCAGACGACAGCCTCTTCCTCACGATGAGGTGTACCTTCTGCATATCAATTGCCATCCTCCCCCATTGCGGGACAAAAGAGCAGCTAGGGTTCGCTATCCTGGGCAGGCACACTGAAGGTGCAACTGGTAGACCAGCGGGAAGACAGAGTTCGTGATGTTCTCTTGCCTGGAACGATGACTTGACGAGTAATGTTGGGAAATGGAAAAGAACAGAAAGGGTGCTTTTACCTCCTTATTCGTTGCATGCTATCTTGTCTCAACTATCACTCGTTCTAAGGAAAAGGCTGCCTTTGTTTCCTCTTGCTACACCAAACATTCCACAAAGGATCAACCAAGGCAATTCTCACGGTAAGCGTGACCCGCAGACGGTAGGCAAACACACATCAACTGTTCTTCACTCTCCCTTTTGCCCTGTCTTGTAGTACCTAGTACCTAGTTCCCAAAGTCCCCAAACATGAATTTATCCATCAATAGTATCTAGCATACGTATGCCAACAACCTTCTTTCCCTCCTCTGCCCATCCCATCCCATCCCATCCCATCCCATCCCATCTCTCAGACATCATCCACACTACGCATGACCTACGGTTTAACACCAAGTAAAAACCGGATTCCTGCTCTTCACAGCCTCCAGCCTCTCCACAATCACCTTTCTCTGATTCCCCTCCATCCCTTCTGCCGCCGCATACCCCAAATCTCCCCCGGCATCATCCAACTCGTCCATATCCCCACCGCCATTCACATAGCCACCAAACATGCCTTCACCTGCTCCTTCGAGACTCCACTCCCTTGCATGCGCGTTGTGAGAGTAACTGGTACTGTACATTTGACTAGCAATGGTGTTCCCGACCTTTCGGCTCGCGGGCGTAGCGAAGCTAAAGCGGCGCTCGTGATAGCCTGCTTGGCCGGTAGCGCCGGGGCCAGCGGAACCATCTCGTTCGGGGTTGTACATGTTTAGGCCGTTCGCTGCTGGGGGACGGACAGAGACAGGGTAGTGCTTTCGGGTGGCTGTGGGGTTGTCGGACTCGCTGCGTCGAGCAGGAGGGGAGGCAAGGGGGTGGTCGATTGTTGGCGTGGTCCCGTTGGGAGGGGAGATTTGGCCTTCGGGTAGGGATTGGGGGTAGTCGTCGTATATAGTTGCGGGACTGGCGATCTCGAAGCGGCCGGGGTGAGGAAGGTCCGTGTTGTTGCTGGAGCCGAGACCGAGGAGATCCGCGACCGCGGGCTTGGATGAGTTACCCGCGAAGCCAATGTCCATTTCTTCTTCGTCAATGGTGGTCTTGTGCCTGTTGCCGGTCGTGAAGTAATCAGTTTGTCCTTGGTGTTGTTCACGGTCAGCGGCGACAGTGGCGGCGGCCTGGCGACGCATTTCGGCGCTGGGAGCCCTCATGGGGACGGCTACGGGGACGTCGACGAGGTCGTCCCAGACGCAAACCTTGGCGCGGCGAGTCAGTTCTAGGGGACCGTGGTCGGGCGTTTTCAGCGTTTCGACCACGTTCCAGGCTTGACCCTTCATGACGGCAATCTGCTTGGCAAACATGCGCTCTTGAAAGTCGGGGTCGAGCTGGAAGACTCGTCGAAGGGCAAGTTGTGTTTGACTCCACCAGGCAGTGGATGTTAGTAGAGGGAGGAAGTGGTCCCGTGTCTTCTGGGAGAACGGTCGGCCGATGAGATCGACTGGTAGGAACAGCCATCCGAAAGGGAAGCTAGAGCCATTATTAGCAACAGTCAGTCAATGGGCAGATAGATAGAGCAAGCATACCTTCTCCAAGCATCCGGATGTTTCCACGGCCACGACAAAGAGTTATCGATAGCGCCAATTGTGATCTTCGGGTCCTTAATCGCCGCCCCCGTCGACGTTGAGGCATCCATCGGCTTCTGCGTCCTATAAGGATACGAGGCCCTCGTCTTAGGAGGTCCCCTTTGACTCAGGTCCACCGGTCTAGGACCTTGTTCCGCCGCATCATCGTCCTCTTCCCTCTCTTCGGTATTCGTGTTAAGATGCACCGGCTCCGACACTATCGACACCTCCTGGGTTTCCCAATCTACCTTGATCATCCAATTGTCCAACCCTCTGTCCGTATTCCGCATAATGTAATCCAAAATAACCAGCTTCTCCAGCTCCTCCCTGAAAGCCTGCTTCAGGGTGGGCGTCCAGACAAAATTGCCTGGGCCCGGTGTGAGGGAGATTGGACTGCTGTTCTCGTCATCACTGTCGCCCTCGCCCGCCGGCGAGCTGCCGGGGCGACAGCTGTCCACCCAACGCTTCTTTTTCTTCCGTTGAGGATCACTGGTCCGGAACCCGGAGAGGTATTGGTCTGGCCACGGGTGTTCTCGAAGGAAGAGGTTGGCGTCTTTGAATCCCTTGAGGAAAACCTGAAAGCTACCTGGTTTGGCAGGTAATGATTTCTTGCTCCGGGAGTAGGTATAACGGTCCCAAAATGGGTAGTGGAAGGATTTGGAGGAGAGGTAGACGACGTCGGTGTAGGGAACCATGTGCGTGCGGAGCTGGGCGTCGAGGACGTAGGCGGCGGCTTCGCTGACGTAGGAAAGGTTGGGAATCAAGCTGCAACAGAGACAACATGTCAGTAAAAGGCCATTGCCATTCTGCAGACGACAGACAGGAGTACATACCAAGCCCTGCCAAAACAACAAGGAAACAGATTGCGATGAATCCACTTGTTCCACTTGGGATTACCCGCCGCATATGGTTCCTCGTCCTTGGGTTTAAACACACCCACCACCTTGCCCTCGGTATTTCTTGCAAAGTAACTCCCCGAACTGCCCTGGGAGATCATGCTCGGATGCACCCCCTGCTCAATCGCCGTCCTGACACTGTCCACAATCGCCTCGAACTCGGCCTTGGTCATGTACCCCGGCTCCGGCCTGGCCAGCATCTCCGCGGTGACGGGCCTCACGCCCTCGGGCGCTTGGAACACGGTGTGATGGATCTCGAGCTGCTCATCTTCCTCCCCTCCCTTCTTCTTGCCGCGCTTGAACTTGCTGGCGATCTCATCGGCCCAGCGCTCCAGACGCGCGTTGATGGCTTTGAGGTCCACGCCCGAGTTGCTACGTTGTCGTGGTCCCCGGTTGCCCTTCCTTCCGCCTGGGGGCCGGGACGAGGAGCCGGGCATCTTGGGGCTGGTCATGCCCGAGTGCGGGCGCGGTTGCGTGATGGCTGCATAGCGGGGTGCGGAGGCGGGCTGGAGCGAGGCTACGCTGTAGTCGAGGGGGTCTGTGTCCGAGTCGTCGCTGAACTGGTCGGCCTGGGCGAGGCGCTCATAGCCCGTGGTGGCAGGCCGTGTGCGTGGCATTGTGATGGACGGTTTCTGGAAATTATGTCTGTGTGTGTATGGTAGCTCGGCTGTTTGCTTGGCGAGCTGCTAGTCACCGGTGTGGTAGACGTGAGATGGCGCGATGTTGTTATCGAGTGCCAAACGAGTGTTGTAGGTGTCAAAGAGGCTTTCGTTTATACCGTAAGCATTGTGGCCTCGGAGGTCGATGTCGTAATCGTCGATGACTCGGCTCGGTCGAGAGCGAAAGGGGAAGGTCGGGAATGCGGCAAGCTTTCTCGAGATCCGAAGGCGGGGAGGGTGGAACAAGAGGACGAGTGACAGGTAAACAGAAGTGGAAGCAGCTGAGATGCTGATCGAGAATTAATACAATGTAAATGGATTACAGAGTGTCGCCCGCTCGGGGTGTGTATAGTAGCCGTAATGATGGTGATGATATGTCGAACTGGTGTTGTTGGTGTTGTCTCGGAGGGATGATCGCTAAATCCGCCGCGTAGCTGAGGCGTCCTGTAGTCTAGGTCTCGAATCTCGTTTGTTGATTGGGGATTGCCCGCTCGATCCGATTGTATCAAACGATGCTTGCCGGTTACGCTTCGCAATTACTCGACACTGGGCCCTTTGTTTGAGGTCGGGACGGGAGTCGCTGTTTGTTCGTTTCCCGATATTGCAGTTGGTTTGGCAGGCACCAGGTGGTGAAGAAAGACAGATCGGAAGTGTCCAAATGGGAAGAGGAACTGGAATGACTTCCATCATTGGAACCCGAATTGTAGAACGTCGGGACACGCACCCAAGTGGAAGCCGGAGGCTACAACCAGTGCGACCAACGTTTTAGGGCGGTGGGCGACCAACCTACCTTGCTAGCGGATGGAACCCCGTGGCTGCGCCCATCCAATTCGCTGAAACCCGATAGACGCGTTGTGTCTAGGACCATGCACTAACAATTATCGGCAGATCATCCACGGCGGGGTGAGTCTATCGATTCGGAGCCCCTGAATTGACATCAACAATCACATCACCACAATAGTCATCAACGTCACGGGATCACTCAACAACGAGGCATGGTTAACATGATATTCTACGATTTGTCTAATCACATTGAAAATGGATAGGAATCATGAACTTATATTTCCAGTCAAGAACTCCCAATCCTGCGAGCTAACGAATTTTACAGCATATTTCACATCAATCCGCTTCTTAGTCGAACAAGAAATATTCAGTGTGGGCTTAGTTCAGATTTCACTAACCACTCAGCCCTATCAATCCGCGATATAGCCACAATCATTGAGCTTTGGTTACCTAGAGGTAAAATCCGCTTCCCAACTGTCCATTGAAACATGTCTTTCCCATTCCTTCCCATGCCTTTTCAAATGCCCCAAACGCCTATGCTAAGTGGCAAGAGGTCTTTTAAAGAAAACTCCATCCCTAATGTCCTGTCCGAAAGTCATCCATGAATGCATAATCATTTTTCTGGGTATCATGCCGGGTGCCGATGCGCCGATGCTGATGCAAATGTCCCATCCCAAGCTAACCCAAACCCCCTAATGGAACCCAAGCTTCCTCTTCTCCTCAAAGCTCATCTCCTTCCACTTCCTAACCCTCTTCGCCTCCTCATCCAGACTCTTAACCTCCCCCCTCAACCACTCCACCTCCTTCACATGGGCCTGCGCCATCGCCAGGTCCATCGCCTCCTTGATCTCATCATACTGCTCCTTGGCAGTCCTGACATTACCCTCCTCATCTTCATCATCGTCGGGGTAAATACCCCGGGCCATATTCTCCCTCTCTTCCCTAATCGCCTGGCGCCTGGCGGCCTGGCAGAGCTTGCAGGCCTTCTCGGGAGCCGTGGCTTTTTCCGAAATATCGCAGAGCCACCACCCGCCGTGCTCGCGTCTCCACGAGGTAGGCCACTCCGGATGCGGGTCATGAAACTCGTGGAAGATGTTGGAGAGTGGCTTCTTGGTAGGAGCCCCCTCCTCCTTCTTCTCCTCCTTGGCCTTTTGGTGGAGCTCAGCAAACTTGACCATCAACTCGTCAAATCTCTCGTGCGGCTTGGAGGAACGGAGCGGGACGATTTGTTGAGCGTCGAAGATTGGGAACCACGCGGGGACCTTCCGGGAGTTGTCGTGAGGGGCGGCGCACATGGGGTCGAGCATCTGGCCGGCGGCGAAGAGGGTTTGTGGTTCGGAGAGCTCGAGATCCGCGAGGAGGGTGTCATCTTCGTTGTTGTCGTCGTCCTCGCGGTCAAAGTCGGCGGCGGCGGTTGCTTTACCTTTGCCTTTTCCCTTGGCTTTGTCTTTCTTGGCACTGGTGGCGCGGGCTTTGGCTTGCTTGTGCTGGCGCTTGGCCTCTTCCTCCACGTACTTCTGGCTCTGGAGTTTGATGAAACTCATGAGGCGCTCTTGCTCTTCCTGGTTTGCCTTGTCGTCGGCTTGGCGCTTGGCGTCGGCGCGATGGAGATCCGAGACGTGGATGCTGTCCAGGTAGAGGGCCTTGCGGACGATTATTTCGTACTCGTAAAACTGCTTCGCGATCTCGAACAGTAGCTCGTGGTGCTTGTTGTTGTTCTCCTCCTGTTGCATTTTGAGTTCATTCTCGCGAGCCTGAGCGAGGAATCTCTGGGTGCCGACTAGGACGTTTAGGCCGCGCACGCGCTTGAGCTTGTGTCTGAGGCTCAAGAGTTCCTCGTAGATTTTATCATTCGCCAAGTGAATCTCTTTGACCCTTGCTTGAAGAGCATTCACCTGAGCCTGGATGTCCTTGATGGACTTGACGTAACGCTTAGTGTCCTCGTGTAGAAAGTCGAGCCAACCGTCGAGCTCGTGAGTAAAGCCGAAAAGCTTGCCTTTGTCGAGTTTGGAGACGTCGTCACAAGGCTGTTCAACACAATGGCCGACAGAGTCGTCGTATCGCATAAGCTTGCCGTCATTGAGCCAAGGATCCCTGATCGTCTCGACGTGCTCCCAGGGAAAGGCTTCTGCTGCTGCTTTGTTCAGAGACTTTGCTGGGTATCTGATGGCGTTGAACATAAAGAACGGGAAGTCAGTGGATTCCTTCATGATTTTGTGCCAGGGGTGCAGGAAGTATTCCGGTCCTTCAACTATCTCGCCGAGGGGGAGACCAAGGTAGGCCTCGGGCGATCGAAATCTGGGATCATTCTTGCGATCAACTACCGCGGTGGAGGAATCGCCCTCTTCCTCCGTCGTGTTGTTGCCAGGTAGAATGGCCGCTTGGGCCAAAATGGTCGCCCCTGACATAAAAGAGTCGGTGCCGGCATAACTTGTGGCATAGTTGGTACTCGCCAAGGTTGAAGATGACGCTGGAAGGGGGACATCTTGGGGCCTGGACGACGGAAGGGAGATATTGTGAGCACCCGAGGGACGGCTACTGGCCGTGAGCGAGTCTGGGGTTTGCTGGCCCGGGCAAGAAGGGCGAGGAGAGCGGGACATGTTCTTGAGGCTATAAGCAGTGGCTATACTTGTAGCTAGGGTAGGTCTTGGGACCGTCATGAGTCGGCCCACAACAGGGTTGGGGAGTGAGATAGTGTCCCGCGTAGGGCGGGGTCTTCTTGGAATAACCATATTGTCGCTGCGTTCGACTACTGAAGAAAATGATGCGGCTTCGTTGTTGACGCGTACCTTTTCTGATGAAGAAGGACGTAACAGTCGATGAGGTCTGACAGTGAAGATCAAGATAATCGAATAGTGGGTAAGCGTCGTGTTCATCAACTGTAGACAGAGTTAGAAAAGTGCAATAGTGTAGTGTCCTATTGTTGAGACTTACCTATGGTGAAGATAAAGTGATAGTCGACACGATGATGGTCGTCAAGGGTTGATCGCTAAAGAGTGGATGTCGACGTCTTTTACGATCGTCAAGAGATGAAGGTAAACCGAAATGACCGTGAACTGATGATCGATGGATTAGTGTCAGTCGACGAGCGTACCAATGGGTGAGGAGTAGTAGATAGTCGAGGAGCTTACCTTGTGGAAGTCGTCAGGTCAGAAGCCGACGACGATTCGTAGTATTCTATCGATTGAAGCGCGCAGTTCGAGTTGAAGAGTTGATGCGTGATGGCCGAGATGTTCGTAGATGGAGAGGTATTGTGTGAGTTGAAGAGTCGCTGTTCTTGCAAAGTGGAATGCTGTGCGGAGCGGCAACAGTAGAAGTTGCGGATTGTGCTGTTGGTTGGTAGTGGGAAGGGTGAGTTCTGGCTAAAGAGAGGTTGAAAAAAAGATCTTATACCCTCCCATCGTCGACGGTCACCCTCCACTGTCGCACTCCAGGTTGGTTGTCGCCGACGAGGGAAGTGTGGTTTAAGGCAGATAGAAAGTAAACACTTGCGCTGTAACGGTCTAACAGAGGAGCAGGTTTGGAAAACTGGTGATGTTCCATGAACAGCCCCACGAACAGTCAAGAACAGTGATGCCGTTGCCAGATCAAGTGCGGTGGATGCAAGAACAGAGAGCACAGTCCAACTAGTGCCGTCTGTTGTCCAGTACGTACTCGTTTCGGTGCCCTCGCCGTCCTCAACAAGGCTAAGGGGTGGCCGGCGGCAGCGACAGTGGACGGTCTCAACAAAAGGGGTGACGTAACGGATTCAGGTCGTCCGATATTCAACGAGCAGGTGAAGGTACGCGAGCCTCGTCCTCGAGGCTGGACGCTTTACAAGGCGGCACAACCATGGCTACCCAGCCTTGACGACCCTTCGACTTTGAACCTTAGTGAGGCGAAACACAACAGGGCACACGCACACCGCACCTGATTCGAGGCTGGGGAATCGTGAATTTGGTCTATTGACGACGATAGTATTGGCAACGGTTACAATGACGACAGCAAAGACCGAGAGCAAAGCGCCAGATGAAAAGAACTCGAGATGATTGATAGAGGCATGCTTTGATAGAACAAAATGAAGAGAATTCCTAGAGTGCCATAGCCGCAACAGACCCAACTGACACCGTCTCGCGCAGTCGTTTGTCCTTCTCAAGCAACAGGATCTGCTTCTTTTTCCGCTTCTTGACCGCTGACAAGTCGGCAAACCTGCCACGCGCCCCATGCTTAAACTTGGTGATCATATCCGACGCCGCACCTCTCGTGATATCCGTGGGCTCGACCGGCTCCTGCCCGCGACGAATCGTCCTGTTGATAAACTTAATCTGGCCGTCGGTTGCCGGATCATCGCGCCACTTCATACCTCTGTGGATAAAGTTGCGAGGGTACTTGCCTTGACCAGCTGATGACGCAAGAAAGCTGTCGGCACCATGAACGGCGTCGGCAAATGTTTCGGCCTTTAGGATCTCGCGTGGCGACGCGTAGGGAGATTTGGATGGCGTAGACACAGGCAGCGTGCGCACTTCGTAGGCAACCCATGGTGGTGCCCCTTGCTCTTCTTCCTCGGGCGCAACCTTCTCCAGCTTGACGTAGGAGCCGTCAGGGCCACTGATAACATACTTGTCCTGCCCGATCATCACCCAGGAGTACTGGCTGATCGAGCGGATGTGTCTCTCGCCCGACGAGTCGGCAATCAAGTCAAAGACCGACTCGTACTCGGTGAAGGTCACAGCCCATTCACCCTGCGGCGCCGGATTTGTGCGCTCAGTCGAGTGATAGACAATCTCCTTCCTTGCCTCCTCCTTTGCCCTTCGCTCTCCTTGTTCCTTCAGATCCTCCACCGACGCTTCCTCCACCAACAGATCCGGATCGAGCCCAAACAGCGTTGGTGTCGTGACGATTCCCGTCGCCAAGCTTGATACCATATCAATAATATGACAATTCTCCTTGCCAGGGTACAACCTCATGCCGCGTCCAATCATCTGAATCAGCAGGTTCCTTGACTTTGTCGGCCTCGCCATTAAGATACAGTCGATATTTGGGATATCCGTCCCCTCCGTGAATACCCCGCAGTTCACCAGCACAGGGAATTCGAACCTTTTAAACGCGTCCAAAATGTCGGCCCGCTCCTTGGCGGGCGTGTCACCCGTCACGAACCGCGCGTCGTAGCCATATCGACGGAACGTGGCCGTCATGTCCGCTACGTGGGCGAGGTCGACGCAAAACACCAGTGTGGACTTGCGGGTACCTGCTTTGGCGTACCATGTACGCACGGCGATGTCATTCGTTTCTTCGAGATTGACGGCGCGGGAAAGCTGTGCTATGTCAAAGTCTCCTCCAGCACCCTTCTTGACATTGCTCAGGTCTACCGATGAGTCGACAGTGGTGAAAATGACGTCGGACAACCATTTGTCGCCGATCATGTCGACGTAGTCCTTGTGGTAAACAATTTCATCGATAGCTGCTCCCAACCTGAGACCGTCTGCTCTCGAGAAAGTGGCCGAGACGCCAACCAGATGGGGCGAGTCGACCTGTTTTTGTCGGAGACCAAAGTGCTCGAGGGTGCGCAGGTAGCCGGGGGCGACAATGTGGTGGGCTTCGTCAACGAGAACGAGCTTGAAGCGCGATGGGTCGAACTTGAGCAGGCGATCGCCGGAGATGATGGACTGCAGACTGGCGACGGTAATGTCGGCGATGCCGGAGGCCTTGACGTTGCCCATCTCGACTTCGACCGTCTTGTGCGGGTAGGTGTTGGCGCAGTGACGGGCGGCTTGCTCGACTAGTTCCCGACGGTGGGCGATGATGAGGGTTTGGGTAGCATTGTCAGAACGAGGCTCGATGCGGTCAATGAGGTGGGTGAAAATGACCTTGATAAGAGTTTAGCAAGTGGTTATTCGTGGTAGTTATGAAAAGGGGGTGGCTCACGGTTTTACCAGCACCGGTAGCTAATGAGACTCCCAGCCGTTTGTGACCCTGGTTGATTGCTGCCAGGACGGACTGGATGCATTCTTCTTGATAATCACGAAGTTGGATTTGTTGTGACAGGGCATTTGCCAGACGGACTGAGCTTGTGAATGATCGTGGGTGGCAATTTGATCGTGATGATGATGGGCTGCCCAACGCTCCTCTCCATATTGAGCTACGTGGTGTCGTAAGGCTCAATGTCCTTGTGGCTGTTACAAGCCTTCTCATGGCGACACTCATTGCTCCGAATTTACTTTGTTTACTCGCAGTGAGGATGTCTCTCTTTGACTGCCACTCGTCCGCCCTCTTTGTTCGCTCACCAACAGACAAAGCCCATGACACTCGACTCGAAATGACGGTTGAGGGAGTTTTATCGTAATGATATATGATAAGGAGCGGCTGAGTGAACAAGGGCAATTGAAAACATGAAGATTCCACAATGTTCGCCGGACTCCGGAGGTTGATGTTTCAGTGAGATGTTGTTGTCCAAGGCAGGCGCATGTGATTGATGGTCGTTGAAAGCTGTGCGTTTAGCAACCTCTGCCGAGATCACTGTTCACCAATCATAGCCATTGTTTCGCTGCTGCCCACGTCCCGAGGACTTTGTATTGTTTATACACCGAACAACACTGTTGGTTACCTATTGTTGACCCCGGATATGCCCTCAACCAGTCTTCCTTCCTCCATCTGATTTCAGATCAATCATCGTCTCCAAATGAGAGGGTCTTGTTACATAGCATCGTCGTCCATTGCTGACTTGAACTCTTCTCAAATGGGTGGGTCATGCTCTTAAAGAGACTGTGCCTGTCAAAATGATCAAGACTTATGGACCTTGGTCGATGTGATTGGTTGTGGGCGCTGGGGTTAAAGTGGGCCACCAAAAAGGTACCTGATCTGCAGTCACTACAAAATATTCGCAACATTGAAAACCACTTTCACAGGATCATCAATGAATCATCAAAGCTGGTTGTCTAGATACCTCACTGATTATGTAGTAATACTTACTTGAGCTATCAACAAAATCTGATGTAACAAAGGTTGTTTCTTTTGATCAAAATGACTTTTTGGTACGAGTTCAAATTCTACTATTCCAGGCATCTGTTCGTTCCCCACATTCAAGTGCATGGATTTCCTCACTTCACATCTTCATCTCCTTCAACTCCCTCGCAACTTCCATTCTACACAGAATGACAAGCCACCTTGGGAATTCGCAACCCTGTCCATGATTGCCATGATATTATCTTGTCCTTAATACTTCCGAGCTTCTCCATTTTTCCCATCCAATCGAGGCAAACACGAAGCAGTCAGATGGATTCGGACCCTGGACTCAGTGACCACCATGCCGCCGGCAATGGCTCTCCCCACCATCAACGACCACGACGCTCAGTCCGAAGCCAAAGTCGAAGTCTACAGCCAGAGTCTGACGAAGATCATCACCGTGTAAAAACCGAACCTCAAAGCGACCATGATGACGACAGAAATGACGCCGAATCGCACTACGGAAGCGCCATCGATGATGCTGAATTCGACTACGCCCAGCTAGACGGCATCCCCCGCCGCCGACACCAGGTAGAATCGGCAGGCAGCGAATATGAACCGCCTTCTGATGAAGAAGTCGACCTAGAAAAGACAAAGAGGGGAAGGTCACGCTCGCGATCAAAATCCATCCTCACCCCGCGCCCTCCAAAACGTTCATCAGACGGCCTAGCCCTCCATACAGAACGGCCCCCAAAACGGCACAAAACCCCCTTCAACCACTCCTACCTCGCCCTCCTGAACGCCGACATCATCGATGCCGCTTCGCGCTTCGTTCCCTCCGGCGACGAAACTACCCAGCAACTAGCTCCCTCCCAGATCGGTCTAACCGTCTGGACCCCCGCTGAAAAAGAGCTCTTCTTTTCCGCAGTCTCCCGTCTCGGCCCGGACTCCGCTTCCGCCATCGCTTCACGAATCCGCACCAAAAGCGAGCTCGAAGTTGCCGAGTACCTGGAAGTCTTTCGGCAGACCATCAAGACCAGGCAGGACCCCAAACTCGCAACCCCGGCGCAATTGCTGCAGCCCGTGACGCCGGCCGAGGTTCCGGCGGCTGTGGAACTAAGTCAGCAGTGCTGTAATGCCCTCGAGGAGGCGGCAGATGCGGTTGCTAGTAGGCAAGAGTCGTGGGAGGAGGCGGAAGAGATGCGGAAGTGGGGGGAGAACAGGTGGTTGATCAGGAAGGATAACGTAAAGGGGTTGGAGATGGAGGCAAGAGAGGAGAGGGAGAAGGAGACGGAAAGGAAGCAGAGAGAAGAGAAGGGAAAAGGCAAGGATGTGAATCAAGATGGTGATTATGAGGCGGTAGTAAAAACCGAGGAGGACGTCGATGAATTTGGCCGAAGGAAATTGCCTGCTCTTGATCTGTTCCGAGTCCGAAATATGCTGGACCTCTCCGAGAACGTCTTCATGAATTCTACCGTCGACGACTACAACTGGAGCAGCATGTCCGACGAGCCACCTGCCATTCGAGCCACTGCCCTCGAGGATTTACATTCGCTGGTAGTCTCGCTAACGCGAAGGCTCGTTGCGGCAGTTATTTACATCAGCGAATCACGCATCAAAGCCAAACGGGCCGTTCACCCATTAACACGAAACCATGTCTGGATACAGGACGTCGAAGCGGCAGTCCTTTCCCTAGGGTTAAAGAAGGATAGCCATCAATTCTGGGCTAAAGCAGCAAGACGGTTAAGACTGGATGTCTACGGGGACGAAGACTATGACTACAAGGAGGAACTGGCGCGAAAAGAGGAAGAAGGGATAGATGTCGACGTTGAAATGATACGAGACGAACCAGAGCCAATGTCCTACGCCGAAGTAGAAGAAGCCCTAGGCCTCGAACCTGATACCAACCGCCCAGAATCCGACGACGCGGACGAATTTGACGAGGATGAACGAAGCGACGTCGAGTCTCTAGCCTCCCTTTCTTCCACGCCCTCCCTCGACGAGCTCGACAATCTCGAACAGAATACCGAGGAGCCCACCCAGACTGAACCACATCAAATTGCTCCATCAAGCCCTGCCCCATCCGAACATCATCAACTGGACCTTGTCGAAGACGAAGCCATCAAATCCGAAGCCAAAGAACTACTCCGCTACTCGGCTCTTCCCATGGCCATCACTTCTCGTGCTAAACAAGTCCTCTACGCTCGTATCCGCACACAGCGCGCTCAGGAGGCGTACGCTGACGCGCTGGACGTGCGGGCTAGTTACAAGGAAGAGAAGAGGATGTGGCAGCTGTTGGGACGAGAGCCACCAGAGGACTTAGTCCTGGTTAAGGGGGAAATACCGCAGGAGCCGGTGGCTACGGGGAGGCATACGGGGGTTGATGAGCTGTTAGGGACGAGGGGGGTGGAAGTGGGCGCTTGGAGGGAAAAGGTTGAGGAGGGATTTGGAGGAGCTGAGTGGGAGGTTGAATGGCAAAGGCATTTAGAAGATCCCAAGGAGCGTGGGAGGTAACAACCAGTGAAGTGTCACTTATGCGGTGCGTGGAGTTCGGCAACTTTGAGGAAGACTGGGGGCAGAGGAAGGAATTGGCTAGCATGTCATGTATGTTCAACGGACTTCTCTTAGACATAAATGATACTGCAGGTTGGAAATCTACAACACTACATCTTCGAATACATCCATCTACAACCCACTCCCAAAAACCTCATCCTTCTTCGTCTTCCGATCCCACACCACTTGTCCATCACTCCTCCTCTTGAAATACACAATGCGATGCTGCGGAATGAACTCCTCATCCGTCTGCTCCGTCTTCCACATATTCAGCGCTCTCTCTTTTACTCCCAAGAACCGATCCTCGTAACCAACCACGTAGTCAGAACTGTCGATGGCCGAGTCCCAGCGTAGTCTGTTCATCACGTCCCCTGCCGAGCGAAGCTTCGGGCCTGGTTCCAGTCTTGGTTGCTGCGTCTCCTCTATCGGCTTCTTGTTCTTGCCCCTTTTCTTCTTCGGAGCGGTCTCATCGAGGTCCTCAAGCAATGAAGCGTCTTCCTCGTCGTCGTCCTCAGGGTCAGAGTCTGATTCGTCTTCGCCAGGAGTGTACTCGCCTACCCAGTCGTTGCGAGTGTCGAGTTGGAGGTTGCCCAGTTCGGAGCGTTTCACTATGCTGGCGCTCATCCAGCTGCTCGAGGCGTCAAAGTACTTCTTATCTGACCGGATGGCTTCTTCAAAGCGTTGAAGCGCGGTTTGGATGGCGCCGAGAGCGAGTTTGAGGTCTTCTTTGCTGGTAGTGGTGTCGGCGTCGAGGCCCAGGAGGTAAGAGGCTTGGTAGTCGCGGAGTCCAGTTCCTTCGGTGGCTGTCTGCTCGTCATCTTCGGCTTGTTGAGAGGCAGCGTCGGCCTCGACAAAGCGTCCAGGCCACATCCTGACATACACCCCTGGTGCCCTCCTGTGAAGATCAACAAGGAGCATCACGCACCGACTCTCCAACCAGCCCACAAACTGCGCTCCCTTCGACGACGACAGTCCCCAATACTGCACATCAACCTTGACATAGCTCTTGTACCCCGTCAAGAACTCCTCTGCACCACTTCCCTTCAAAAATTCCTTCCAGCTCTTCACTTCTCCCTTCACCAACAAGTCCCTCGCCCGTTTAAACTCCTCCTTCAGCGTTCTAACACTCCAAACACTCGCCTGCCCGCTAGTGTTTAGTCCCGGTCCAAACCACCCAAGCACAACCATTGCCTCCCTCCCCGTCCGTTTATACACCTCCTTCTCCCCTCCTTTTTCCCGCTTCTGCCTAAACCAAGGACAAACCTCATCATAAACCATATCCTTCTCCCAATCAAACTGAGCATACTCCTCAAAGAAACTCGCCACCAACTCCTCCACCCCAACACCACTAACTCCCCCAGCCCCAAGCGCAAGAGCTTTATACACCCTCGCCAACATCACCGAGATCTGTATCCCCCCCAAATACCCAAACCGCTGGGCATACACCCCCCTACCTTTCGCCCAGCTCCTCACAGCTCTATGGGCTTGCCTAAACACTGCCAAGTCAGGCACCGTCCGCCGCAAATAATCCAGATCCCTGGCCGCTTTCAGTTTTGTCAGCGTCAGCGCTGGCAAAGACCAGACGGCGTTTCCAGGCGGTGCTGTAGATAAGATGCGAGGCCAGTGGGAAGCAATGTGTGCCGCAGGACAGTATTGCAGGTCGAATTTGATTTGGCAGAGGGAGAGTTCGAGCATGGTGCCGGTTGAGGAAGAGATGCGGCGGAGGATTTTGGGTTGGTATTCCTGGGAGTAGAGGGGGGAAGAAGCGGCGCGCCGGAGACGTTGGATGGCGAGGGAGAAGAAGGTGGTGGTGGAGAAGGGACCGATGGCTAGGACGTCGATGTCGGAGGAAGAGGTGTGGACTCCAAGAGCGAAGGAACCGACGGGGGTTATGATTAGGGGCGGCTGGTTGGATCGGGGTTGGGTCTCGGAGGTGGTAGTAAGGTCGGTGGTTGATGGCTGGGGAGACTGACTTGGGGGAGGTGTGTCGAGGAGGATGGCCTTGAGGGCTTGGAAAGCTGCTTTGCGCTTGTCTGTCTCTTCCTGGGAAGGCAGGATGTTGAGCTCGGCCATGGCCTCTTTCAGCGATCCTGGCTCGGAGAGAGGGCCGTCGAGTGGTTTTACCAGCTTGATAGACGTTTCTAACGTAGTGGCACGGCTCTTTTCCTCAGCCGTCTTCTCAGTCTGCTCAGTGGTTTCCTGCTGAACAACCTTTAAAAGACACCTCGCCCCCCAATGATCACTCCCATACTGCCCCATCTCATGCCCCTCTCCCTTCTCCTGATTACTCTTGAGGAATCCAAACCGATTAAACCTCCCGATCCTCAACACCTGTTGACCCCTGACCCAAATCCGATCATACCTCTGCGGCCGCATATTGCCTCCACTACCCACCATCTTGGCTGCAACACCATTCCTTGTCGGATCGTAGGTAGCTCCTTGCTCGCCGGAAAACAACCTATTATCCTCCCCTTCTTCGTCCATGTCGTCCATGATGTCCTCCTCTTCTTGAGCCCATCCCTCTCCCAAAGCTGCACGCCCAACCACCCAAGCGTCTTCCATTCCTAGGCCCTCTTCCTCCTTCCACATTCTTTCGACACTATTCAGTGTCGCCATTGTTTCCCGGGAAATCTTCCCAGCTTTCACAGCTTGCTCAACAGTCCAGCTTGAGGATGTCAAATTGAAGTCCCCGGCAACCACCCACGGATTCTGCGGAAACTTCTCCTTCAGATGCCCAATCACCCGCTGGATCTCTCCCTTCTTGGCAGCTACAGTCATGTCCGTCAGTCCATGACTTAAATGAACCGCTGCCAGCACGAGGGGCTGATCAGGATTGCTTCCGTGGATGGTAGGGAACCGGGCAATGACAGAGCCTTTGTGCTTTCTAGCAAACGGAAGCCAAGACCAGGAGAAGGGGTGTTTAGACAGGATGACTTGGTTGAGAAAGTTGGGGAGGGGAGATGCATCGGGTTGAGAGGGAGGGGGGTGGGAGACGTAAGGGTAGAGGTGTCGTAAGGCCTGGGATTCGGGAGATGTGTTGGAGGGGGAGAGAAGGAAAGAAAGGAAAGAGTCGGTGACTTCTTGAAGAAGAAGAATATCTGCTTTGGCGCTGGGAGATAGGAGGTTGCGGAGGATGAGGCGGTATCGAGCTTCTTGATCGGTGGTTGAAGAAGAGGAGTGCTCGAAATCAGCGAGGACATTCCAGGATGCTATGCTTAGCAATTCTGGCGTCTTTGCCTCTTCCTCTCTTTCTTCCTCTTCCTTCCCAGCACCATCCCTCACCCAAACCCCCCTCTCCTCATCAAACCTGCAAGTCCTCTGCATCTCCTCCACATCCCTCTCCCTCCCCTCCCACCCCAAATCCATTTTCAAAGCCTCCTCCCAATCAACCGGATTCTCATGTATCGAACATCCCACCTGCTCCTCCAAGTTTATCGTGCCCCAAACCTTCATCTTCCCCTTACCAGGACCATCGCTCTGATCCCTAACCAACACCCAGACCTGCTCAACCTCCCACTCCACCGTCGGCAGCAATCCCACCTTTTCCACCAGGAATTTGTGTGCTGAGGATCGGCTGTCTTCAGATTGGGCAATTGTCATGTGCGGTTTGTACTGCTCTTTGCCTTCTTCGCCTTCAGCCTGCTGGTGGTATCCCAATTCCCCAAGTATTTCCGCTCTCAGTCTTGACAACGACGTCGTGCTTGTGAGGTTGAAGGCGGCTTCTTCATCACACCGATATATCGTATTATGCTTCCGGTGCTCGAAAACCCCCACCCCATCCAACCTCACCCTCACTTTATCCTCCTCAAACACTGGCCCCCCACCTCCTCCTCCTGGGCATCGTCCGAACTGTTTCCTATCAGGCCCCCCCGTCCATGCCTGCGCCCCCTCATCCCACCTTATACCCCTTGCCTCATTTCTTTTTCTCCTCCCCTCCAGAATCCCCCACGGAGCCAACTCCATTGTATTTTCCAGATGCTCTGGCTCGACAAAGGGGTAAACGAGGTTGATGTGCGGTGGCCATTTAGTGTATGCTTTGTCGTAGAGGGAGCGAAGGGCATTGATCGGGGCCCAGAGATGGGGAGGGGGGATTATGGCGAGGGCTGTGTTGTGGGATGAGAGAGGGGGTGGTGTCCAGGGTGATGTTGATGAGGATGGTTTTGGAGCAGCAGCAGCAGCAGCACCAGCAAGAGGAGGAGAAGCAGGTTCTGGGGAGGGAACCGTGGACGCCATGGCTTTTCTTTTTCTTTCCAAGTTGTCGTAGGTGAGATGATTGTTGGATGATGCTTTGATGGTTTGGTTTGGTTTGGTTCGGTTTGGGTGGTTTTGCTGATTGTTGTTGGCTTGCTGCAAGGAAAACACAACAGGGTAGACAAACAGGAAAGTAGCTGCGAATGGACTTATCCCGCAAGAATACTGACTGACTGACTGACTGACTGATTGACTGACGGACTAACTGAGGGAAATGCTGTTTATATCAACAACAAAAACAAGAAAGCACCATTTACAGTGTTCGTATTCCGCTCTCAGCCACACTGGCCGTTTCATGTCGTCGTTGGGCTTATGTGAAACCAATCCCCATGATTTCCTGCTGACATCAATGCTGAAGCCCCGCAATGCTTACTTACTGCCCAACCTCTCCGTGAACATCACACAACTTACCGAGGCTGAACTGTATCCTCACTACTCAGAACCCACTTAATGGCTTGATCCACGCAGTTGCCGTTTTCGATTCACAATTGTTGACTCTTTCGGCATCCTTTGACTTCGGAGAAAGTTTGCAAATTTGCGAAACACAACCCATGTTAGATGGAGAAAACATCCCTAGTCACGGCTGTCAGTCAGGCCGAGTGACTCACAAGTTTCAACGACGTGGTTCTGCCTTCCCCTGTAGGTGGGCTTATTGTCCACAATGGAAGCGACCTGGGCAAGGTCTTAGTCGGCGATGCATATACACTTACGAGGAGGCAATGGGCCTAGTCAAGTAACGTTTTCGTACCGCAACAGCTCTCGTCGAAAAAGTCAAAGTAGAGCTAACAAACACAAAGGCTTCCAAAATACTATTCGATGTCCATTCAGTAAACACATGAGCTATGTACCTCTTCGCTTCTTTACAGCGGCACAACAAGCATGCATAATAAAGCGACAACAACAACAATAACAAAAGCAACGCTGGTCCACGAACCACCAAATTAACAAACACACCAACAAATAGACGTAAGTCTTTTGATTTTCCAAACCCCCCTCGACAGCTGAATACTATGCATATTAGATTATTCTAGACCAAAATTGATGATGTTCCCATAAGTATGTTAGAAGAAAAGTGAGAGAAAACTGATATGCCAAAAAAAAAGCAAGGGTGCGAGCGTGAGATGCTTTCCAAAAAGTCTTGTTCAAGTTCCTTCAATAACCCATTTCCCCCGTAAGTGTCGAGTTCGTAGTTCGTAGTTCATACGTATGAACGACATCAACGCATCACAGCAACGGCAAACAGCAACTACAGCTGGCCTGACAAGAGGGCTTCGGTAGCTGTTTTCACCATCGAGTTAGCCATCATTCCTCACAAGAGTTGATCAATCAGGGCAAGACAAAAATACATACCACTGTTAATGTAAGCCCTCTTCAAGTCCAGTGGGACGCCAAACCTCCTCTCAAGTTCCTGCTTGATTCCCTTCTTGGTAACCGTCATCAAGTCCGCCGTCCTCAAAATCTCGCGAATCTCCGCCAACAGCGCGTCATCGCTCGGCATACCCGCCATGTTGGTCATCTCCAGCTCCTGCTGAGAGGGAGTACGGCCCATAAACTGAGACCCGCTGAACTGGGAGTGGCGATTACCGGCCATTAACATGTCGGAGTTGGCGAAAGACATACGACTACCGTTGTTAACGGGCAGATGTGTCTTGTCGCTGTAACCTCCGAGAGGGAAGCCGGTGGTCGAACCAGGGCGGCTAGCGTAGTTGTACCCGCCGCCATACTCGGACATGGCAACGTTGTAGGGGTTCTTGGTGGCGTATGAGAAGCCCGAGATTTCGGAGCGAATATCGTCGTTGTTGCCACCGTGAGAGGTCTGAGCTTCCCAGAGCTCAGCTTGGTACTCCTCCCACTTCTTCTTGGGGATGCTGGCGGGATCGAACTTGCCCTCGTCCGAGATGACGATCTTCTGACCCGCTTCGCCAGCAACAACACGAGTGTTACCCCAGTTGAAGTCGTCCATGTGCCAGAAGGAGTAGAGAGGAAGGGCGAAACTGAAGACGGGAACGGCGATAACGTAGAGAATCATCCAACCAATCATTTCCCACTTGCGACGCAGAGTGAAGATGATAGCTTGCAAACCGTAAATCGCACCAAGGAGAAGGAAGGCTGTCATGGGCACGACAGTCGCATTACGCGCCACCAAGACGATCAAGTAGACAATGTAGGCAATGGTGACGGGCTGGACAACCGTAGACAGCAAGTCGACAAACACGATGAATCTCATGCTGAAGCAGCAGAAACCGCAAAGCTGGTTCAACGGGATGAGTTCAATCAAGTTGTGCACGGTAGAGTTGATCCAACGACGGCGTTGGGACAGGAAAACTTCCCACGTATCAGGAGCAATTGTCCAGGCGTGGGCGGCGAAGATGTACTTGGTCTTGTAGGCCGAGTGGAACTTGAGAAGCAGTGTTGTAAGGTAACGATCCTCACCAAGGTGAAGAAGGTTCTTCATGTGCAGAGTGTCAACACGAATGGTGGAATAAGCCTCAACGACCTCGCGACTGACGAACAGTGGCTTGCCAGAGTCGGCAGCGCGAATGCGGTACATGGAGAAACAGCCGGGAAGACAGGTGACGGAACCGAAGAGCGACTCGAAGGCCTTGGACAAATTGTGCGAGATGTAGTACTCGTACACTTGGATCATGGTAACGAAGGAAGCCTTGGCGTTGGTCAGAGCAGTCTCGCCGCAGACAGCGATAAGACGGGTATCCTCCAGGAAGGCAGCAACGAAGCGCGTCGCCGAGTCGGGCGCCACCACGGTGTCGGCATCGATTTGCAGCATGTACTCGTAGAAGGTCGGATTCACGCCGATGATGTTGCGGATCTGATGGTACATTTCCAACTCGAGCGGGCTCATCGGGAGGTTGTAGTGGACGCGGTTCAGGAAGCGCATCATGACCATCTGAGAGTCACGCTTGCCACGGTTACCGGGACGAGAGACCTCAGAAGGCTTGCCAACCTTGACAATTACCATGAAGGGAACGATGTGGCCCTGCACCTCGTAAAGACCCGAGTAGACCTTGCCCATGTTGTGCTGCTTCTGGCCTTCACCGAGCGACTCGAAGCTGAGAGGCTCAGGATCAACCGTCTCCGAAACGCCCAGAATATCAAGTACAATGCGAGGAGTGGGCCTATCGTTACCCTGACCAATAATCATACCGTCACAGACAATAATAAGAAGCTTGCGCTTATCATCGTACTGCATGCGGGCGGCGGAATCGATGGCACGGCGCAGTGAGTCTTCGTCCTCAGTGTAAGCCGGAACCATGCACATGATGAACTTGTCGAGGTTCTCTGGCATGTTCTTTTGGCCGAATTGCAGGGCAGCGAAGAACTTGAAGATGATGACAGTTGCCAAAAGAATCGAGATGGCCAAGACGAGATACGTGGAGAACTGACAGCGGGTCGAGTTACGAGTATCGACGTCGCCAACATAGAAGAGGTTATCCAGACAGAGCTTCATATCTGCCTTCATGTTCACGTCGAGATCCAAGGCCTCCCACAGCTTACTGACATCCTCGCCGGCCCTTTGGGTGAAAAGATCAACGACAAGTGGATCCATGAAGTTGACGGCATTGGGATCCGTGGGCTCGGGTTTCCCAGGAGCAGCGCGTTGGTGACGTCCGCCCTTGATGTACTGACTCATGTCATAAACACGGCCTTCGAGGATAGCAATCGATTGTGACTTGCCAGCGAGCTGCTTGACGTAGGGCGGCGAGTAACCAACGTTGCCAACCTTGTAGCCATTGCCCTTGAGGAAGATCATCTGCTCCGCAAACCAGTCAGGACGACTGTCATTGGTGAAGGCACGGAAATCATGGAAATGCGCGTTCTTATCCTGGCTGCTGATAACAGCGGCCGCGTTGGTGATGTTGTCTGACTTGTAGTCGAGAGTGACCGTGTCCGCAATCGTGCCTTTCACACCGCGGCACAAAGCCGAAACCTGGAGGGGGAAGAGGCCCGAAATGTCAAGACCAGCGTACTGTGTGAATGACTTTGAATCCAGGCGAGGATAGTGGCGTGGCGCGAAGTCACCAATGTCGAAAACCTGACCGCGAATAGCCGCGTAGGCAGGGTTCTTGCCCTTGCCGTCGAAGCTGGACAGCTCCGCAGGACTGTAAACGTGCTGCTTGGGGCAGATCAACATGGGGAAAACAACAATGAAGAAGGCGGCAAGCAAGCAGAAGAACCAGATGATGAAGTTGATGGCCACTTTTTCTCTCCAAGCCATGCGGACGTCCTTGCGCGGCATCTTGCCCAGGATGCGAATGGCGAAATCGGGAATGAACCAAGTCAAACAATAGGTCAAGAAGACCCAGCGCTTACGGCTAGGCTTGTCCTTGTACACCTCAACCTCGGCCATATCCTTTTCATTGGCCTTTTCCGCCATCTGCTCACGGGTCTCGAATGTCTTGAACATGTCGCCCGCGCCGATAGCAGTGCCGGCCTCTGATCGTGCATCCACATCGTTGCTTCCAAAGTAGCCGGCCTTCTTGTCGTTGTACATCTGCGGTGTAGAGCTCGTCGAGGGCATCAGGCGCTCCTTTGGATCACTGAACGGATCTGGTGTAGAACCATTATCTGATGGCAACCCGTAACGGCCCGAGGTCGAAGTGTTCTCTCCAAGCTGTGCCAGTTCCATCCAGCATCGCTCGCTCAAGAAGACACCAGTAGCGCCGATGGCGACCTCGTTACTTGGCCATCTCTTGTCCTCGACAACCATCTCGACCTTTTCGCGTTCGGTTCCAACCAAAATGGTGTCGGCATCTGCTAAGCCCAAGAACTCACCAAACGGCAGGAACAAACTGAAATCAGCGGCGCGCAGGCGCTGGCTAATCTCGGCAATCCCGAACGTCTGGACCTGCGCCCTGACGCACTTGCTATCAAACTGGTTCGCAATACGCCGGTCGTTGGGCTTGAGACAGAAGACGAAATAGCAATTTGTCCCTTGCGCAGTTAAGGCTGTCTTGACGTTTTCTAGCGCAGAGAGGAACTGAGCCGCGGCGCCTTGTTCCGATCCCTTGCTAGACTTCCTGCTGGGCTCTCCCGACTCGCTGACCTCGTCGATCGCGATATCCGGGTCTGCCTTCTCTCCCCGTAGGCGACGACCTGGAGCGGGGCGTCCTCGCTTCGACAGAACACTGGGTGTGCGCATCGGCTTAGAGCTGACTGAGGCTTGCATCACCGTGGTCTTCTCTTGCGGGTGGACAACCGTATGAAGAGCTTCTTGGCCGAAGAGGCGGATGACAAAGTTGCTCTTGCTGGAGTTGATTAGGTTCATGAGGTCACCAGAAATAACCTCACCATTCTCCTCCACCAAGCCCTTGACAGGGTAGTCGACCTCACCAGCGAAGTGCTTGACCGTGAACGTCGCGGCGGTGTTCTCGGTAAAGAAGTTGCTGCCAGGCAACTTTGCAGTCGCCGAGCCAACCTCGATAGCGGGGTTCTTGCCCTCAAAGCGCTTGCGCAGACTCTCGAGAAGTTGCATATCAGTGCGATGACGGCGCGTCTGGTCATCCAAGATGCTAAGGAGACCATTTCCAGGCTTCAGCAATCCCTTCACGGCATCCGAATTATCAAAGTAGCTCGTCGCGGGGACAGTAACCTCCTCCAGCTCGAGCAGCTCGGCCTTGCGGTCGAAGAAGGTCTGCAGAGTCAAGTTGTACATGGACTCGGCAGCAGCGTTGTTGAGCAGCTGATCAAGGGTCGAGCCTGTGGAAGACTGCTGCTGGAACCCGGGGAAATCAATTATGGAAACAGTGTTGGAGATGGCATCCTCAGCGGCGCACAGCTTCTGGTTGATGTTCTCGATAATGTAAGCGACGAGTAGCGAGTACAAGGTCCGCGCCAACTCATCGGCGTTCTCACGAGCACCCGCGGGATCCAACATAACCGTGACCCTTTCCTTGTGGATCATCTTGGTCTTGTAACCCAACGTTGTCTGGAGGTCCTGGACGCCAACACCGAGGAAAGCAGCGACAATGGCCAAAACATCCTTGTTCTTGACGGCGGTAACCATCTGGCCACCCTCATGGGAGAAGCCACCACTGTCATCGCCAGTAGCGGAAGTGCTCGATGTTGTCTCGAATTCGAGCTGGCCAATATGGAGGATGGCGGCCAAAATCTGGCAGATCTCGGCAATCTCGGTCCTGGGAAACTCGAGCTTCCTCAAGGCCGTCTTGAAAAGCTGAAATCCCTCGGCGTCGTTGATGCCAACCTTGAGTTGCGTGGGGTGACCCAGATACTTCCACCGCTTACCCCCTGTAGTACCTTCCTCAAATCCCAAATGGGCCTTTTCCGCGGGACTTGTACCAGCCAGGAGGTAGTACAGCACGTGGAAGTTGCGTTCTCCTGTTGGCACAGCCGCTATCCTGCTCCTTTCCAGACGATGATCCAACAACTTGGCACCGATGAGCTGTGGGCTGGTGGTGGATGCTGTGTCGTATTGCAACTCGAAAAAGAGACCGGCCTTGGAGGCCGTCGGCGTTGTGGCTGTCTTGGTGGTAGTGAGCGTGTCAAAGACATATGCGGCCAGGGACACCTTGTTGGAAAGGGGAGTTGAAGACTTGTTAAGGAGTGCCGTCAGGACGTGCGCACGAATGGTCGTCTTTCCTGAACCCGATTCACCCCTATTGTCTCAGCCGTTAGTAACGAGGTCACGCCGCAAGGTATGACAAAAGCAACAAGGCAACAACATACAAGAAGAGCACGGCCTGGTTCTCTGACCGATGACCGAGACGGATGTAGGCCCTCTCGGCCATGTCCTCGGCACCGCCCATAGCGGAAGACTCTCGCGTGCCATCTCCTTTCGTGGAGCTAGTGTATGTGTTGATGGAAACGAGTGCGTGGGATGAAAGTCGGGAAATCGGTAGCGAGACGTGGAATCGACTGGCCAGGTGAGCCGTCAAGTGTGTATCCGACTGAAGATGGGTTGGCAGCGAAGGTAACGAAGGTTGGGTATGGGCCCCTCCACCCGTCCCCCCTACGGGAGGAAGGTTGAGCGCCATGATGAACGCGCTGCTGGGGGACTAGTATGTATAATACTCGATATGTCTATAGGACCTCCAGGTCGTCTGGTGAGAAGTGTACAGCGTCCAAGTCGTCGGCGTCTGGGAAGTGTTGGAGTTTGCTGTCAAGTCGTCGAGGGAAGGTTGACAATGGTGTGATTGGGAAGCTGTCGTCCGATGCTAATCAGATGAACAACCTGCCTCAGCGAAATATCGATGCGACGCGCTAGGTGTGTATACAGGACGAAACAGTGACGCCAGTGAGGCAAAACGAGAGACCAGATGCGACAATGGTAAACGAGCGTTAGAGAGGAGAGAAAAGATAGAACAACAAGGCTACTGAGCAGACGTTCCTTGGAAACGCTCGAGGCCTGTTCCGAACCTTTCTGTGATCCCCAGCAAAAGAGGGAAGCGTGTAGTGTACAGCGATGGATGCCGTGGCTAGGAACAAAACGGTGGGTAGGTAGTAGGTAGGTTCACACCGGCAGCGTCGCCCTGCTGTCTGATGGAGGCTATGGAGCTGGTTGACTGGGGAAAGGGGATTCCAATGTTTTCTCTCAGGCCGGCGCTACGGCGGTCTGCAAGGGCAAGGAGTGCAATTCGGATCCATACGAAGTACCTGCCCCCGTCCAGCATGTGATTGGTCAGCATGAGGTACGGGCTTCTCCACGCCCAGAAGCCAGTGCGTGATTCAAGATATCCATACATCTACAAAATTCTGAACAAGGGAACAAGGCGAAGAAATGCAAAGGCTTCAACTTGTTCCACTTCAGCCTCCATGGGCTGCCTGCCCTTTTGATGCGGGAGCACATCTTTTCGATCGGATACACCATCAGATTTGGGTCAGGTCTGTGTTGTCCTGACTCTTGGGACGAACTGGTGATCCTCTTTGGGAGCCCTGTCGAACGGTTCCAGAATCACGCCGGTGTATATACGTACCACAGCTGGATTTTCTCTTCCTCAGGGGCACTTTGACCCGGCTTAATTCTCTTTTGCCCGTTCTTCGCCCATTGCGGTCAGCAACCAGGAGCCCCCCCGGAGCGGATGGACGCCCTATGACAGCATTGCTCGATTGGATTTCGGAAGTCGAGGGCCCATGCCCGCGGTAATAAGCATACGATAGTGTGTGCGCCTGTCTGGGGGATAGAAACACTAAAAATTGATTGACATGCTTTGTCCTTTCAGCCGCCTATGCTGTTATTCGGCTGCTATGCTAATATCGCATTTAGGTGCATTGTGCATTGTCTCACTCCCACTGGTCATTCTCCACTGTTGATGCCAAGGACATTATCTGTTGGTTCGTTGGTTTCTGCAAGCCCCATTCTACGCTACCTTAACGAACGTGGTCGGTGTCAGGGACCGCCGAACCAGGCCCCTTGGAACATTTTTCACGTCTTCTTTTCTTCTCCAGGTTCGTTGCCAAATGGCTCACTGACTAGAGGTATTTTACCTGAGGGTGTCGCGGATGAATATTGCTTGTCTTGTGAGGTGTCCCGGCAAGATCTGTGGGGTGGCGTGCCCTTGGGAATACGAGAGTTGGGGAACAATGGGGTGGATTGGGTGGCCCCGGCCTGGTGCTGGCTTTGCGCTGCAAGTCTCCTCGTATGAATTGGAAATAGTAGCGTACAGCTGGCGGTACCACCTCGTAGGGTTTGTGCGTTGCACCGTCTGCCGGTGTGCCGCGGTCCGGCGTAGTCGGTAAGTATGACGCCTTTTGGAGTCTCGCTTTTTTGTTAGTGTCGAGCCTCGGAAATTGGGTGGACGATGCGGTGACCAGTTTTCAGCTTCCAACGCGAAAGGTAAAGACGGGATGAAACTGATTTCGTTGGCTCGACATCTTTGCGAAGAACTGATAGAAACTGTGTACAAGGTATCGCATGAGCATGGGATCCGTCTGTTTGCTTGAGGAAGAACAGCCCAGAACAGAAGCGCGAAGAATTTGGAGTTCCCGTCAATGCTGGCAGCTCCAGGTGAGGTGCCTGGATCCCCGCCAAAGACCCCGCCATTACTGCAGGTGCGTTCGGGCGCTTTGCCAGGAGGGTGTCCGCCATTAGGAACAGGAAGGAGCGCGGTTGTTCATCGCGCCTCTGCAGACCTCCACCAAAATGTGCCAAAATATAGGTTGAGTTAGTTTGCCCTAGTGTGCAGCGGTAAGACCGGGAGTTCATCCGCTTTCCTTTGATCATGCCCCTGAATACATTCCCGCTCTAGGTACGTTTAAATCGGCGTGATGCACATGACCTGATGTCGGTTCCGATATTTTCGTGGGGCGCATATGATGTACATTACATCCCATCAGGATTGCATATATGGAACCCCCATCAACCTAACCACCAAATGACCAGGGCCGTACATTCAGTTTGTATTAGTATATGTAGAACATATAAATCCTTGGTGATGGCTTCGTGTTTCCACTTCCAAAAGACCAAAGGCAACGTCAACACGAAGGGCCGTTCGATGCCGGCCGTCCAACATCGTTTTTGCCCATGTTTCTTCCCCAACAGAGCTTGACAATGCAACGCGGCGCAGGCAAAAAGGGGTCGGCAAAAAGAGGAAAACAGACAACTAAAAAAAGAAAACTACCCGGTTGGAGGTGGCACATGGAGTGTGGAGCAGGGGCAGCCCCCTTTGAGAGTCTCTTTTTTTTCGCCGCATCTGCCTTGGCTGCCAAGGACGATATCTCTCCATCATTAGGTCACTACTTACTGAGACAATTCATTGTATCGAGGCCTCCTGTCTGTTCGATGCCAGTCATGAAAGCGAGACGGCACGCAATTATACACCACGTACCAAGGCAGCGGAACATGTCTCATTATCATGCCCGGTTTTTGGGTTAATTGCCGACTGGATTCCAAGAATGTGCAAGTGTCCCATCGTCACCTTTGACGTGTATTCCATTGTGCTTGTCGTCAATTTAATTGTCGATGGTTCTTGATGGCTGTCCACTTCCTAGAGGTTGCGAGGCGGGAGGGTTTTGTTGCACACATTCGCGGACCGCTGCGTCGGGCGCTGAGGTGGTTGAACAAGTCGAACGCACGGGACGGGAATGTTTGTAACATGTCGCTGATGTTCGGACAAGACACGAGATACCCCTCCAGCCCTTTTTCGTGTTCAGACTCTCGAGACCCAATGGAACTATGTATCCGTACGTCCAGTGCCTAGTCTAGTTTATGTAACATGCAACAATTATAACGCCCGGGCGGGCTCGTGCTCGTGCTCGTGGTAGGGCGGCTGTGAATAAGCTTTTCTTGAATTCTCTAGCCAGTCATGAGCTTGGACCCTACTTTTAGACGTCAATTCGCAGCGAAACATGCCATTCCCAATGCGAGGTTCTCAGCTCGGCCTCTGCGTGAGGATGTGCACCATCATCTATCCACACACAATGACCGCAGACGGTGGGGCCCAAGTCTTGCAGTTATGTAGTTGGTGTTGTGAGCGCTCGTATCCGATTGTCATCCAGCATCCCGTGGCCGTCCGGCACTCCGCCGAACGGAGGACCCGTACCAACGCAGTGCGCCGCTGTAAGCGAACGAGAATCCAAAGGCGAGAATCTCATTTGACCATCGTCCTTCCAAGCAGGCTTTGGGGTCGATCAAGTCTGGCCATCTCACACTCGACCAGCATTCCCTTCTTCAGCACAAAATCAGGTGGATGCGGTACAGGGCCTCAGGGCTCAACGGGGGAGATCCAATCATTGAGGCGAAAAATGGTTGCGGATCCTGGCATGAAAATCACTGGAAAAGGGAACGACGGAGTTCCATAAACAGGCCTGATACACCCGATACAACCAAACTGAAGCAGTGCAACAGCGCCTCACAAAGGAGCAAGGCTCTGAAAACGTAGCAGGATGTTTTGAAATGCACACATGGACTGATGACACCAAGAACGAGAAGCTCATTGTGGCACCGCAGGATGGCGGTCGGCAAAAGCGGAAATAGGGACAACTGAAGTTTAACAAACAAAGATCGCATAATTGCATTTTTCCATCAGCAAGCCCCCTTCCCTCTTGGCCGACGGGGAATAATCTCGCTGGTAATTACGTTCCAGATCGACGTACCCAAACCGGGCCGGGGTGATTGTCGCGGGCGCTCCGTACATCATGGGCATCCTTCCTCCACTTGTGAGTGAATTGGGATTGGTGTTATCTCCCAGCAAGTGTTGTAAACCACCGTACGGACATAATTCTCCACCCCCCCACGGAGTTCTGTTGTTGCTCTCTTCGCGATCCCCTGCGAATGTGGTGATTTTTTTTCCAGGCTTCTCCAGTGGGTGATGGGGTCACCTACGAGCAGCCCCAGCAGCAACAGGTAGCGAATGGAAATCCATTCATTCCATGCATTTCCACTCTGGATCGCCCAGTCTGGTGGTTGACCCCCCC